TGTCTATATGAGAAAATAGAAATAGCGATGTGAAGTAGGTATAGAGTAAATGAATATTACTGTGTTAATTCGTAGTGCATCAGCAAGATGTTGTGCTCCTTCATGTCCGATTCCGTTCCTATTGAGATGCAGTGTGGTGAGTGTCTGTATGATATAGTAGAAATAGTTATGTGAAATAGGTGAAGAGTGAACGAATATTACTGTGTTAATTCGTAGTGCATCAGCGAGATGTTGTGCTCCTTCATCTCCGATTTGATTGCCATTGAGATGCAGTGTGGTGAGTGTCTGTATCAGAAAGTACAAATATTTATGTGAAATAGATGAAGACCAAATGAGTATTACTGTGTTATGTCGTATTGCATTACTGAGATGTTGTGCTTCTTTAGCTCCGATTTTGTTGTACGAGACATCCAGTGTGGTGAGTGTCTATATGAGAAAGTACAAATAGTTATATGAAATAAGTGACGAGTGAATAAATATTAGTGTGTTATTTCATGGTGCATCACTGAGATGTTGTGCTCCTTCAGCTCCCATCGGATTGTAGGAGAGATCCAATTTGGTGAGTGTCCACATTATATTTTGCAGATATATATGAGAGGGATTTTAGAATGATATTGTTATTACCTAGCGTTCTGCGTTGGTATTCTGAAGATGTGGATTTGAAATAATATAGGTTCTATGACATTTCCTACTTATTAAGAGCAACTAGAAGTTGTGCGTGTAGAAGATTAAACTTACGACGTATCTGCTAGGAATACGCAGAGATTCTCATCGTCGTCTCGAAATGCTATCTTCATGGAAAAGGGATTAAGTGGAGAAAGGGAGGAGGTTCTGATGAATGGATAATGAGTCGTCGAACGAATTTTGAGTAATGAATTGAAAAAGCGTACTATGATGTAGCGTATCATCGTAATAAGTGATTCGCTTGCACGACATGCTTTATCGATATGAGGTAAGTTTCTTAAGACTTTTGTTCATTATTGATCGCTGATTTCCTTCATCGCTAAATCCATATCAAGCGGCGATTTCAGTTACTTGTTTTGTATAGGTTAAGTGATATGAGAGAGTCCTATAGTCTGTAGTACCAGTAGTTTGTGAAGGCAAGCGCGTATTTTGCAAAGTGAATAAAGTGGGATCATGTAATAAATAAAAGTCCAGGGATCATGACAACTGAGAGGATTTATTTTCTGATTAGTTATTCATATAAGACGAACTCGCTGAGTGGTTCTTAGTCTGTCTCCAGCGGTTGTTTTAGAACGGAAAAAGTTATCTTAGGAGACATATATTACAGTCCCTCTTCTTCTACTTCGATTCGATCTTTTCTCACCATCGTCTGTAGAATATGAGTGCTGTTCTTTGAACATTGGGATGCTTAAAAAAGAATGAATGTAGATTCACTCATAGTTATACCTGCGCTCATCGACACCTGTTACGACTTTCACTCAGTATCAGCGAACGAGTAAATGAGAAAAATGAAATAACATGCGAACGAATAGCCTATCTCGCAATAGATTAATTACCTACTATTTTATCAGTCTTACAGATCGTAAGAGTGAAAACGAACATAAATATTGATGAATATTAGCCGGGTATAATAAGAAAAAGTCTTACTAGATATCGATCGTAAGTGTCAACGATTTGATTGAGTCGCTGGCTCACGTTTCGCATAGAACATAGCAGAGTGAAATCACTCTGATGGTCCAAAATTCGGTAGATAAGCTCTACCGGTAATGTAACCAAACTTGTCATGATTTTGTTTGTCTCCGACAGAAACTGTTAAAGTGTGTGGTGTGTTATTGCTTTTATCTCTTCTCTTGAAATGCGTATTTACTTTAGGAGTATCGTATTTTTCTTTTGATGGTGCAACTACGCATTCGACGAAAGAAAGGTAGAAGAAAAAAGTCGACGACAAAATGTTCTTATACAAATAGATAGAAGTAATGTCTTGATTGATTGAATTTTAGCGATACAATGGTGTATAAGAAATTTGAGAATATGATACATCTGATCGCAACTAAGGATTTCCACTTAGTTACTAAAAAAGTGATAGTAAGAAACTATGTTCACACATACTTGTTGTTCTTTTATTAAAAAAATCGTAAAAGAACAAAAAAAAAAGAAATACTTTCTCATTGAATGGTTATGTATCGCCATTTACTAGTGTATTTCGGTATCATATGGGTGGTATTCGTTTTGAGGAGTCAATGGATTGAAGGAAATATGAATGTCATTAGAGAAGCAGACGGAATCATGTCATGGCAAATAAAAAACATGTGTTTTAAATGTGTAATGTTTTGTTTTTCATTATATTCTTGGCACACTGTTTTCGAATTTGAGACTAGTTGACTTATTCTATAAAATTAGTCGATTCTTTCGATCAACACATTCTTATTAGCAAAAATAGGAAGGTACGTCATAGTATTTAAAAATATATCAAATTTTGTTCAAATGTCCTTATGTATTTGAAATGATATGAAATATAATTGAGGGTGTAGATGTTGATGTGGGTATGGGTATGCTATTCGTCTATCACACACCCAACACTCTCTGGACAATATTGTGATGACATCCCAAATTCTATCGATAGGAACTCAAAGTCCTACTAAAGACACTTTTATAATAATCCAACGTTTACCATTGTTATCGTAGGAACACATAACTAATGGATGCCGATTTATTTTCGTTTCTTCCCTAACAAAGACAGTGAAGGTTGTATGTTGCACTGCGCTACAAAGCGAGCTTGCATGAGTAACCAATGAATTGAAGCAACAAACAACAGAACAACATTAATGAATTGAAAACTTTTCATTTTTTTCCTTTTTCAATACGTTGTGCACATAAATGAGAAAACAAACAAGCATACTGTAGTGTAAAGGAATATTGTGTGTACATAGCAGCATTTGTTTTTCGTTAAAAGACGTGAAGACAGAACAGAAAAAAACTCTATTTCATGTCGACTACGACACAGTTTGGAAGAATCGTCTTGCATAAAGATGACAATAATAAATCGTCAAATTTTAACAACTTTAGAAATATTATAAAATGGAAATATCTTGAGATTAGTTTATTAAGATCTTGTCTCTTATATAAAAGAAAACGTAGGGAATGCTATGTCTATTTCGTCTAGGCCCATCAATGTAAAAAAGAAATAGCATAATAATATCTTTTACATGAATCCCACAAAGAGTATTTTATATGTTGTATTTTTATAAACCCTTCAGAATATATCAGCATACGCTTCATAGCAAACTACAGAATAAAAAAATTTTCTTCCAAGAGTTTATGACGTTCATCAACGTTTAAAATGTATATTACTACTCATATATTATCTTGAGGGTGGAAGTGGGTGTAGGTATTCGTCGTATTCATCATTCAAACTCACACTCTTAGCAAAATATCTGATCGGATATTTATTTACTTTGATGAATACAGAACTGTCATGAATATAATTGAATTCAAAATACATGTATATGAATAGGTAATCTTCACCACGGCAATCAAAATGATACCTTATTATCCACATCATATAGGATTTCGATCAAGTATTTATAACATTGTATGAAAAATGCCTATCAACTTAGTTTGTCAAATGAGTATAAAAATTCGAAGTCAAAACTAAAAGCAAACAAAAAAGAGCTAGTATCATACGAAATTGTAATCTGAATTCTCCTGTATGTACAATAAGTTTGGATAATTACGTACCGCCTTTTAATCTACTTTCATCAATAAGATATCTTTGATGTATGGTACTTCTACTATGTTTTTTCAAGAATCTCAACTTCTCTGAAATAAATATATCAAAAAATTACTACAATAATTAAATATTTTTCACTTTTAATTATTTTTTTTAAAAACAACTGGCTTGTTCATAGTATACTACATAGTTATAAGTTCATTAATAATAAATTGTGATGAAATTTGAATTTAATATTATGTAAGTTAACTCAATTGAAAATATCCTGTGTAATACTAGGAATTATCACACTATATTGTTTAACAGTAGTTTAGAAAGAACATTGATTCTTTAACTTATATCTGGAAAAGAAATATATATGCATCATCTTAATTAATTTCTACGACATTTATATGTTTTTTGGATAAAATATATTTAAACAACGAAATAACTATTTACTCTATGACAGATAATGAAAGCATATTTTTATCGTTATCAAATGCGATGTCATATTATAATATGACAAAACATTATTCAAGTATTAAAAGAGATGTATTCTAGAGAAATTTCATTTAAAAGAAAAAATGAAGTGTCTTCTTTTAATATATTTCACATTAACATGTTTTATTTCAATTAGCGATTGTAATCCAAGTTTATCATATTATGATGAGTCATGGATATTATTTAAACGTACTTATAATAAAGAATATAATTCAATTGATGATGAATTAAATCGGTAAGAATATTAATATAAAAGACTCATTAATTAAAAATAAAATCAATTTCGATAGACGAATTATTTGGGAAAAAAATGTTAAAATGATTGAAAAACATAATTTTGAAGCTGATAGTGGTATTCATACATATACAATGAAAGTTAATCAATTTGCTGATCTTGTTAGTTTATAAAAGATTTTTCTTCTTTTTTTTTTGTTGATTTATAATGAATATTTTTTTAGACACTTGACGAATTTGTTAAACAAATGAATACATTGAAAATAAATGATAGAAAACAAGAAAATAAAAAATTTGAAATTCCATCAAACATAAATCTCCCCTCATCTATTGGTAAAAATGAAATTATTTTTTTATTTAAAAAAAGAATTCTATATAAAATAAATTAGATTGGCGCACAAAAGGTTGGGTGACACCTGTTAAAAATCAAGGACAATGTGGTTCTTGTTGGGCTTTTTCAGTAACTGGTTCACTTGAAGGACAATATGCGAAAAAATCTGCAAAACTTATTTCTTTATCTGAACAGCAACTTGTTGATTGTTCAGCAAAATATGGAAATGCTGGTTGTAATGGTGGATTTATGGATCAAACATATCAATATATTATAGATAATCATGGAATTGATTCAGAAGATAGTTATCCATATGAAGCTTTTGATCGTCCATGTCGATTCAATAGTACAAATGTTGTTACAAATATTAGTGTAAGTTTTAATTTTTAAATATTTTTTTAAAGAAAGAAAAATCTTTGTTTTTTCAAAATTTAAAGAGTTTTGTTGATGTTAAATCTCAATCAGAAATGGATCTTCAATATGCAATTGCAACTGTTGGTCCAGTAGCAGTAGCTATTGATGCACAACATGATTCATTTCGATTTTATTCATCTGGTGTTTATTCTGAACCAGATTGTTCATCAACAAATCTTGATTTTTCACTTTTAGTTGTTGGCTATGATACAACTAAAGATAATGTTGATTATTATATTCTTAAAAGTCAATGGACAACACAATGGGGTAATCAAGGATATGTTTGGATGAGTAGAAATAAAAATAATCAATGTGGAATTGCAACTATGGCTAGTTATCCACTTATTTAATTAAACTAAATTAAAATAATAAAACATCTATTTTTAAGAATCATTTTTCAATAAAATAATAAGAAGATTATATGTTTATAACTTACAAAATAGAACACTTTCGAAAAAATTTTATTTTAAAGGTTGTTTGTATGTACACAAATATCTATCATAAATATATCGCCATTTAAAACTAACATAACTACGCCGAGCTTCTCAAGATCTCTTCTGTAGATTTATTACTTTTCTATATAATCAAGTTGAAAAAAAATAGAATCGTTACAATTTGGAGTGTGAGTGTTGATTATTCATCTATACCTACACCTTCAGGTACACTCTCACTGTTTGCTTCTGTTAAGTTCATCCAGGTGTTTCAGTTCGACATGTTGAACAAGACAAGGTTGAACTTCTAGAGTTTCTTGATGATGTGGATGGATGTGGGATTATATCTTTTCTTTCTCCTCATCCACCGATTCACACCTACATCCTCAGATATGTTTGATATTTAAATAATGTACTGTTTTTTTTTAATTAAAACTCAGAAAATTTGCAAAGCATTGAGAGGATGTGAATCAATCAAAGATCAATGTCTACACCTATACCTATCATTTATTTCAAGATACATGTTGGTATTAAAAATATGTAGAATTACAATATAGAATCCAGATTAATCCTTAAAGATCTTTAGTAGAGATGAAACTTGACTTTGTTTAAATGTAGTTCACATGATTTATATATTGTTTAATTATAAAATCATATCAATGAAAAAGCATGATTAATAATAAATTATATTTTGTTAATGATATTTTTGTGTTTATTAAAACTAAAATAAGAGATAATAATTTGAAATAGTCTAAATAGATTAAGTTAAAATAATTAATGAAATCTTTTAACTGTGAAAAGAACCAATTATAATGAGAACTTGGTTAAGGAAGCCAAGTAAAGAGAATATACCCATTATTGTGGCAAATATGTTAATATTACGAGCTACCTTTGAAGTTTTTAATGCATCTTGCACAAGACCTTCTCTTTTTAAATCTTTTGTCTTGTTTGAATAATGGAAAGCAAGGCAACCAAAACATATATTGCAGCAGAAAATATTTATAATAGACCAAGTTTGGTAACTACTAATTTTATCTGCTGATTGAATTATATTTTGATTTGGATTAATAAAAGGTGATGAAGAATTAATATTATACGTTGATTGAGGTTGATGAACTTGAGTATTAGTATTTGAATAATTGATTGGTTCTGTAGATTGAACTGAATAATCATGTGGTTTAGAATAAATAAACTTTGCTGAATTTCCATCTTTTGATAAATCATCAACAATTAAATCCGATGTAGCCATAGTGCTCGAAGTATCGTGTATGATATATCATAAAGTGATAGATGTTATTCATCTTATCCTTCTATTTATATACTTCTCACGTCTACCGGACATGACAGAGGTGCGAAATCTTCCCAAAAACGAAAAGTTTCCCTCCCTGGGAATATTTTTGCAAAAAATTTTCCGAAAAATGCAGTTTTAAAAAACTTTTCCTCCCTACACGGGGGCGAACGAGGAAGATTCTGCACCTCTGGGACATGATATACTCTTTTTCCTCTTTCATGGATCTGCTTGCATTCATATTCCTCTCACTTTCCCTTTTTCTCATACACATACATCCCACTCTATCTTCCATATATTTTGAATGTTTTATACATTTCATCTCGTGCTCTTCTTCGTTCTATATCATATATACATTCTTTCTTTGTTTCATCTTTTATGATATAGCTTACGCGTAATGATATGTGCTTATTATATGCTTCACTCCTTTTTGTTTTTGTATTCATATGCGTTCGTCTTCTTGTTGTCATTTTCATTTATATTCATTCGATTCTTATTGTTCTTGAAATATACACGATGAGATATTCATCACCATACTAATCAATAGACAAAGAGAAATATGGTTTATATGCTGTGGGAGAAAATATAGTTTTTGTCTTTTAGTTATGCTCATGATCTTTCGAGATTTTATTTTTGTTGTTTTGTCTCGTCTACATAAAGTCATACAAAAACTAAAATGGTTAAAAGAAAGAAAGCCAGCAAGAGAATACTCGCCTCGAGTTAATACTTGTTTGTGAGAGAGGAGAAGAAAGAGTACATAAACATAATCACAATAGAGTGATATTAATATCGGCACATATAATTATATCCATAGGAAATTCTAAAAAATTGATTGTTGATATATTTATCTTGAGGGGCAGAGTGTAGGTGTGGATGTGATTGTGGGTGTATATCATCTCTTCTCCTCATTCACCGATCCACTCCCACACCTCAAGATGATTTAAGAGCTTAGATTTTCATGTCAGTTTCTATTTGGGTTTGACTTTGAAATGTGCCAAATCTAAACGATAAAGTATTGACAAGAATAATGCATCAACTAACGATGTTCTAAAACAAAACAAAAAATTTTAAGATTGGGTCTAAAGCATTCCCAGCAGCTGTATCACTCTTGTCGATATTTTATCGCTCAGTTTTAACTAAGTAATATATGCTTACCCTATGATTATGTAAATGAAATATTTGCAAATCAAGGTTTATATTAACATTAGGATACGAATATTTTTTTTTATCATAAACTTCTATTAAAGATTTAAATCAAGATAATTAGATGAATATTTGTTATAGTATCTTATGATACTGATCACATTGAAATTATTTATTGAATAATTCAATACTTTCAAAAATTCTTTCTATCTTCAAGTATATTAAACTAAGATATATTTTTAAAATCTTTTTAAAGATTGTCAAATTTTATTTCTGAATGAAACCTAATATATTCTCTAGCAGTCATCATTTATTATTTAATTTATCAATAATAATTTGTTCTATAGATATATTTGAATCATTCCAATGAGCATTTATACCAAGATTATTTAATCTTTCCATTAATTCTTCATTAATACCACGATATAAGAAATTTTCTGTTAAAAGTGCTTCGGGTCTATGAAAACTTGTAACACGTTCTCTAGATTGCATAACTTTTGTATAAACTCGTTTAATCATTCTATCTTCATAATGTTTAATTGCTAAATGTAAATCAAGATTATTTTGTGTAATAATATCAGTTAGATCAACAGCATCAATAAGAACTTGATTTGCACCTTGTCCTTTAAACGGAGACATTGGATGAGCAGCATCACCAATAAGTGCAATTTGAATACCATCTTTATTTAGATCTGTAATTGGTATTAAATCTCTATCAAATGCTGGTATTCCCATAAGTAAATCTAATTGTGTTTTTTCAATCATTTCAGGTATTGGTGGATGCCAATCACCACATTTTTCTAATAACATTTGTTTTAACATTTGTGAATCTTTTGATAATTGCGTTGCTAAAACTAAATCTGCAGGAAATGAAAGTTGCCACATTATTGATTGTTCTGGTTTTGATTTTGAAAATGGCATTGCAAATAATCGAAAACATCCATCCATTGTTTGAAATACACGATCTTTTGCAAGAAAATGTTCAAAACCTCCAGTAATTCCTAATACTACTAATATACCTAAATAATTGAGTGGTGTATCTATAAGAGGATCATATTTGAATGAACGAACTTGACTACTAATTCCATCGGCTCCAACAATTAAATCAATATTAGTTTCTATATGTCCATTAGTAAATAATATTTGATGTAAACTATGATCAATATGATTAAGACGATAATTCCATTGAATACCTTGATGACCTAACGGATGTAATTCAATATATTTATTCATGAGAATTCTTCGTAATTCTTGTCTTTCAATATGTAAATTATGTTTATTTCTAGTTTTTGGTTGATTATTTTGTTCTGGATAAAATATAGTTCCAAAAAAACCTATCATATGTCCATATTTATCAAATATATAATGTGATCTTGATGGAGTATCTAATGAATGTACTTGTTGAAATACTTGTAAACGTTTTAATGCACTAATTCCTTGAAGAATAGTTAATCCATAACCTTGACGTCTACTATCCATTCCTGTATCTCGTTCGTATACGATAACATCTTTATATCCATGTTGTAAGAATCCAATACCAGTTGCAAATCCTCCTAAACCACCACCAATAATGACAATTTTCATTTCAACAATAGATTGATCTAAAAATAAATAAAATCTCTATTATTTTATCTTAGATGAGAAATGAAAATGAATACTTTGAAAAAAATACGAATCAGTTGGTTTATCATGCGATATAGTCAACAAGCTAAATTTAGATATGTGTCTCTTTGAAATACTTGATACTTATAATTGAATAAAAAGAAGAATGAATTATCGAAAGATTGTACAAGCTGTTAGATATACATTAATTATTCAAAAATGGATCTACTCTTCAGTCGATATTTCACAACTCATTCCTTTTTTATCTTAATTAAATTTTTGAATTAAAGAATATCATACACAGTAATCAAAAAAGTTCGTTTTCGTCTTTTAGAATCTGCTATACCATTATTCCGATTTTATTTCGTCAGTTCTACATTATTACTACGAACTAAAAATCATATGAGTCACTATGTTTTAATCTATTAACAACTATTTATAATACTTATAATATAATATATGTGTTAAAATACATCGTTCGTCTATACATTGACGTGCTTTATACCATCTTTCGATTCTGTTGTACTACAGTCATCTGTTGATATACACATGATATTGGCTTTGTTTTCTATCAAATCTTTAGGTATCTATTATATTATATTACGATATCTATGGAAGAATTTTAATACTTAGAATTCTAGATCTCATTTGACAAAATATTATTACTAGAAACAATAACTTACTTATTAACGTTGACAAAACAATGTTCGTAAGAAGATTTTTTGTAGTAAATAATATTAAATATTTCTATGAGATATTTTATAAGAATGGAAAGTTGAATGATTTCGCAGAGATAAACAAAAATACACGTGTAGCATCACATATATATATATATATACTGAAGAAAAAAATGCTTTCGATTGATGAAGTTAAAAGAAAGAAATCAGTATAGAGTCACATGTTGTATATATGAAGAAATAGAAAAAGAAAAAGTAACAGAACGAAAGAACGCAATATAACAACACACATGTAAAGAAAGAAAGAAAGAAAAATACTGATGACGTTGCATGCTTTTTTTGTTTCTGTGATGTTATGAAGCAATTTTCTCTTTTTTATTTTTGTTAATACTAATCGTATAATACATGCGCTCAACTATAATTCAGATATTATTTAAACTGAATAGATAAGATGATAATTGGATACAATATCCATGAACATACTTTCGTTTTAACTATTATTAATTAATCTACAGTTTATAAGAGAAGACAAAAAACAAATTTCATAGGTAACCGTATATTTCCAGATTGAATCTAACTAATCTTTTGTCGTATTGTTTTAGCTACATTTGCTTGAACAAGAAAAACACTCTAAAAACTAATCACTTTGAATGAAACTCGATGATGAACAGTTTGTATACTTCGTTTCAACTACCACATTCATCATTTTGAACTTGATAGGGTGTAAGTGTGGAATGCTGACAATACTCGCACATACCGACATTCTTAAGATGATTTGGTGTTCACGATTGGTAGAAAAGAATTCATTGGATAACTTACTTCAATATGTATCTTTCATACTTTTATTAATCTTATTGAACTTAATCGATACTGTATTATTGTTCGCAGAAGTCCTGATAAGAAAATACCTGCATAGAAAACGACGAACGATTAATTTTTAATATTAATGCAAAAGACACTTATAATCATCAAAAAATGTTTTTCTCTATAATTTCCTCTTGAGTATAAATGCTCATTGATTATATAACACACAGTGTAATTAGACTGATTGATAAGATAATAGAGACATAACTAAAAACTAATTTTGTATTTATAATCGTTGACAATCTTCTCTTGAGTTTTTTTTTTAAAAGAAGCTTTATTCAAAAAAAATGTCAAGTTGTTCACTACACTTTTATGTTTCGAGGAGCTAAAAAGTGCAATGTAGCGTTACATAATATGAAGAGATAGAAAACTTTCTTCGCTCTGTCAAATGTCTATTATCATTTGTTCAAAATAATTTTTCAAGACAGTAAATTTATAAAATCTTATAAATTATGCCATTGAATATTTTCTTTGAGTACTAGAAAAAGATTTTTTTATTTTTCTTCTAAGAAGAGTCTCAGTTATTTTCTTTATTTATTTGTTCGTATTCTACTGTTTCTATTCTATCAAGACAGAAGCGGAAGCTGTAATCGTATAAATCGAGTATTTTGTTTCATTTGAATTCACTTTGAATCATTCATATTATTATTAAACTTGGCATTTATTATTCAGACGAAATTCTATCTCATGATTTCATTTTTACTATCCATCGAAGAAAAGTAATTCATTATTTCATATCTATTTAGTTGTAAAACTTTGAATTAAGCATACAATGGATTACACTACTGTTATCAACTGGATATACATATTTGTCGCTACTGTGAATTTTTGCGTATCACTTTTTTTTCTTATCGTGACTATCATCCATTATCGTCAATGTTTTAATTTCCCTACTCTTCTGGCATGCAATACAATTCTAGCCACTAATATTTTTTCTGTTAGCAATGTAGCAACAGCTACTTACATGCTTATTTGGGATCGTCAAGAAGTTCCAATGGTTGATTCCCTTTGTCCAATACGTGGTTATTTTCACCATTCGTCGATCGCTTGGATACATCATTCATTAGTTTTGCTAGCTTTAGAGAAATATTTCAAAGTTCGAGGTATCACATTCTTTAGGAAACCATCTCGGCAAATATGTGTTGTTCTATTTCAATGGATCTTTGATTTTATTTTTGATTTACCGGTTCTTCTTACCGGCAATATGGGAAAACTCAGTTTCGACAATGTATGTTTCGTCTCATTCACAAAAGTGTATCTCGCATTCTATTTAGCTGCAATAGCATTTGTGTTAACGGATATTATTTTAACTATTATTTATAAATCTTTAATACATTACGTACGTGAGAAGTCACTGAAAGTGCCTAGTAATCGTCAGACACAAATGCATCGAGATCTGAGTATGATGCGTCGCATTCTCTTGTTGAATTTTCACTTGGCTCTTCTCAGTTTACCGGTTCTCATCTTTCTTATTATGCATGCGATTCGAGTCGATCTTTTACCTGTCAAAACTATGAGAATCGTGCTTCTGATTCATAATTTACCAATGTCAGTGACGGTTGCTATTCTCTTTTGGTTTACACCAGATTTAAAACAAAGTCTAATCAATACTAGAAATCGATTATCACAATGTCTTTTAATCAAAAAGAATCGTGTGCAACCGATGAGAGCTAATCTTCGCTTTTAATGAAACTATTTGATATGTCATCCATCTAGAAGGTCAAGTCACATCCACACCCTCTTTTTTAATCGAGTTTATTGTTTTTGTATTAGTGTATCATCTTCGAGGTCTATACGTAGTATCTCTTCTCCTTCTATTGTAATTTTATGATTTGTCTGCTTTTATGGTTTTTCTTTTTTGTTGATCTTTTTCGTTTGTAGTGATGTCTAACTTCTGTATTGTCAGAATCTAATGCTCGTCAGTTATTCCCAAATGATATATATAACTAATGAATAAAAATACTTCATTTGATGTTATTTTATATACTTTGAAAGATCTATTTATAATTGAATGTACCCTTGTAGTCCATCACAATTACATATAGAATGATGATCATATTAGATATTTTCAGTTGCTTTCTTTTAAAATAATATTTTATTCAAATCTTTCAACTGTGTGGAATAAGAATAAAATCAATTGTACACTACATTTCCGACAGCATATAATGTAGATACGCTTTCTCTTTCAACTGAATATAAAATAACTAAATATTTTATTCTTCAAGAAGCGTTTGTATTTTCTCCATAAATCCATGATTTTCGATGTATTCCTAAGAACAAGAACAGCAAATTTTGTGTGAAACACTTTGTTGTCATATCCTTCCTAAAAAATTTCGATATCATGAATATTTTTTATGTTTACAGCAAATATAATACCAGACGTTTTATATCAGTTTTGAAAAAGGAAACGGATTCATTGTTTTTCTCTATTGATAAATTCAAATGTTGTATTTGTTGAAAATATTTCAGAAAAAAAGAAAGTTCCCATTGACATCAATATCTAGGCGGACACAGAAAAAAAATAAACTTCGCGTTTTTCTAATGTTCAGTTTTCAGTAATATATAGAAGAGTTTTTTTTATCATTCAAGTTAATTATTGAAGAATGGAACTAAAAAGAAATAACTTTTTTTATTTTATTCAATAGAAGACAAATATCAACAACAATTAATGATTTATGAATAATAAAAAATGAGAAGATGACTTTCTCAATAATATTAATCATTAGTAATCAAATGAAGTTCTTCTCATTTTATTTTGTTTCATAGTTTTATAATTATATGTAATAGAATCATCAACTATATTCGACATTCTTCAAATTATTAAGTATCAAGAAATGGATTCCTAAATGATATCTTTCACTTTATTGTTATGTATTTGTTTGATTTAAAATTAAAATAAGTGACGGATTCCGATACTTACTGTATAGAATCGTTTTTATATAAAATATTTGTAAGAAAAAATATCATGTGTTAATGAAAGCGATAAGATCATTTTTGAATAAAATGTCGAAATCTACGAGGTGGCATGTAAAATTAAACTAATTAGTTAATATGATCATTTCCATAGAAAGAAAAACATTAAAAATCAGCACTTTTCGAAGGAAATGCAAAGTTTCCTGAAAGAAAAAAATGTATTTGAACAAAGTATTTTATTATTTTTCATTCATTCATTTGAAAGTCTATAGGATTAAACTGTAATTATATTATTAGTTATCGAATTATTGTTGCAAAGATATTTGGTCGATGAAATAATTCAGTATTGATATAACTGTTGTTTCCTTCATGTTCATTTTGTCTACATTAATATTCATAAATTAGGAAACAAACCTGAAATTTTGTTTTTCCACTGAGAAAAATGATTAAAAGAACATAAATAACTTTTCATAGTGTAGAGAGTAATGAGAAACAAATATAATACCCACAACCACAGACAGTCACATCTAAATGTAATTATTCAAAGAATCTACGTATTTCACATGACTATGATTGTAATTAGAATCATGGTTATAGTTCTCTCTATAGATTAGGAATAGCTAGTATAAGACTATAAATAAGTGAAGATCAAGTATTAATTATTCTTATTTTCTTAAATGCTCTATTTTGACCTTCAATTAAATCAATGAATATCATAATTATGTATCTATTCTATGGAATAATTATTACATACGATAAAATCCATTTCTAACCATAAATATTGTCTAATTCTCAATTCATTTAAAAAGATCTTTGTGTATAGTAAAATATTTTGACGTCAGTTTTTTCTCTGTTAGGATATGATGCATATCCTTTGAACAGCGCTGATTTTCAATGTTTTATTAACTAATAATTACACTAAATGTTGTCTCAAACAGTTTCATATCAGCAAAAGTTTTTTTTGCAAGTTAATATTGAAAAAGGAAGTGTGCTCATTGTCTTATTGATATATAATGTTTTACATTAACACAATGATATACGTCATAAAAGAACTGATTATTTAAGAGAGGGAAAGAGAAAGCATGATAAATAGTTTTTCTATTATTTTAACAATTTTCTGGATGGAATTGGAATAAAAATCTTCTAAGATTAGTCGGTAAGGAATATTAGATATTATTTGAAATATAGATTTCAACGATTAACGAGAAACACAAATGATTCTTTGTGAAAAAAGAAGATTCAATTAAATAGTTTAGCTTCTCTGTAATCATATTATCAATGGCTGGAAATGTATAAATGAAAAAAGTTTTTTGTCAATTTTAGATTGTAGAAGTATTCAACTTTCAACAATGAACAATAACAACAGAATCGGAGTTGATAATGATGTAATTTATTGAAAGAAAGCAACATCATATAATATAATATTTTTTTTGGTTTATTATTTTAGTCTGAAACAGTTACGTCGAATACTCCGCAACCAAAAACATTGTATGTATCTTATGAATTATAGACAGTGATAAAAAAGATTTATTATTCTAGATGTGAATATATGAAAAGAAGAAAAGGAATGTGGATTACATTTACTATTATTGTACTTGTTATAATTATAACAATTCCAATTGTTATCTCCAAAACAAAAATAATAAACAGTGAAACAACACCAACAATAGAAGAAACAACAATTGAAATAACAACAGAAATGGAAGTACCACAAACTACAGGTAGTGAAAATGAGATAATCATTTATTTTGAAGTTAATATAGGATAAATTATTTCAAATGACAGAAGTAGGACTTCATTATTCATCATAAGAACTTATACATGATACTTCTAAGCAACAATATCAAAAGTTTTTCTGTGATTCATAATGGAATTTTTAGCATGTAGAAGAATATTTATTAAGAATACGTCCCTGATTTGTATGTTATAGATACTAGTAATGTTAGTATTAGCTGAAATTTTCAGTTTGATTAAATCACTCCTTGCTACACAAATAAATAAAACGCGCGTAGAATTTTCAATTTTTCACGGAATATGCTTGAATAAAGGTTAATTTTACATATGATTCCCTTCAGAAGTTTTGGCCAATCTATAAGAACCACTAAAATACCATTAACAAAATAGATCTTACGCGTTTTACCGTGTTTTATGCGGTAACAAGCAATCACTCTAATATTTCTGTTGATAACAGAGGACATCAAAGCCTATATCATCCAAGATATTCATGGGATGATAAATTCCGATTTGTACAAAATTCAAATAAAGTGGCTATATAAGAAGTTTTCTGTAAATTTAATTGAATACTTTTAAGGATAATCATAGAAAACTCTTCTAATTCAAGAAAAGATAGAAATGAAATTGAAGTCTAAGCTCGGATTAAGGTGGGTTGGGCTGCATCAAGTCAAATCAAAAATATATATCTATATGTATGTATATCAAATATCTTGAGGATGTGAGTGGTTGAGAGTGTGTGTGAAGAGAAGATAGTCACCCAGACTCACATCCACACCCTTAAAGAAAAAGAAATAAATTAACAGACAAACATTATTCAATTGTTTAGTCTCAATATAAAAACGTTTTTTTCTAAAATAGAACCAACTACGACATCAACATCAACAACAACATCGACAACAAAAACAAAATCAACAACAACAACAGAAATACCGAGTAAGTACTATGATCGATGCGGGAATTATACTTTCTTACTTATGGTCATCATCCTCATTCACATTCAGTCTTACCTATATCATGACACATTCGTACACCAACCATCCAACATGGTTAGAGTACATCTTGTTTCCAGTATGTTGAACAGTATAGAATGACTTTCACTCAAATTCTGAATATTGATCATTATTCATCATAACTGAACTGTAGGACAGTGTTTGAGTCTCGTCAGTTCGCGACATCAATAGAACTCGAAAAATATCAATGAAGTCGTTTTTAACATATTTTTGATTAATTTGATTTAACATGTTTCAATGAGTCTTATATTAATCATAAAAGAAAAGACAAGTTTATTGAAGCTTTGAAATCATTTAATCTGCTATCAAGTGATAGATAACTTATACATATGAGAAATTCGAAGTCATTTTAAGGAGAACATTTTTTCTCGTTTTTATATATCTTATTTAGAATGGACAATGGCAGGAAACATGAGTACTGCACGAAGACATCATACAGCAACCATATTAATAAATGGATTCGTATTAGTGACTGCTGGATACAACGGCTTTACTCATCTCAAGAGTGCTGAATTGTATAATCCATCAACAGATACTTGGACAACTACGGCAAACTTGAGTATCGCGCGATCTTATCACACAGCGTCCATATTAGCAGATGGATCAGTATTAGTTGCTGGTGGATACAACGGTACTTATCTTGATAGTGCTGAATTGTACAATCCATTGACAGACACTTGGGCAATGGCACGGAGTATGAATGCCGCACGAGGAAAACATACAGCAATCACATTAACAAATGGATCAGTATTAGTTGTTGATGGATATAATAGTACTAAAACTTATCTTAATAATGCTGAATTGTACAATCCATCAACAGGCACTTGGACAAACATAGGAAGCAGGCATGTCGCACGACAATATCACACGGTATCCACATTAGAAGATGGATCAGTATTAGTTGCTGGTGCATCCACTAGCAGTATTATTAATCAATATAGTGCTGAATTATATATTCCATCAATAGACACTTGGAGATCTACAGGAGACATGAGATACCGCCGATCTTTTCACACAGCATCCACATTACTAAGTGGATTTGTATTAGTTGCTGGTGGATCCAACAAGGGTGCTTTGGATAGTGCTGAATTGTACGATCCATTAAAAGGCACTTGGACAGTGACAGGAAACATGGATGTCATACGACATGATCACACAGCATCCACATTAACAAATGGGTATGTATTAGTTACTGGTGGATACAGCAGTGCTACTCTCAATAGTGCTGAATTGTACAATCCAACAACACGCACTTGGACAACCACAGGACGCATGAATGCCGCACGACAGTATCACACAGCATCCACATTAGCAAATGGAAAAGTATTAGTTACTGGTGGAATGGGCAGCAGCACTACTCTCAGTAGTGCTGAGCTTTACTAATCGATATAGACAGAATGACATTTTCTTTTTTGAATTAAATCATACAAATTTTATATATAATCACAGTATTTAATCATTCACCAAATAATATATGAGTTGAAATAATATTTTGAAGTGATATCTTGAGAATGTGGGTGGAATGAGAGTGTGGGTGTACGTGTGAGTATTATTTCCATCTGACATTCACACTCACACCCTCAAGATTTAGCTCTATTCGTTGATAAATGAATGTTTTAATCAGATTCTTAGCAATTAGATAGATTATCTCAAGTGCCATTGCTGGTAGATCAGCGAAAGCAAGTGCATCCTTGTAAAACACAAAACTAGCTAAAACATAATCTATCAAAATCCACTCAGCATCTATGCAATTAAATTTTTATTGCTTTTCAACTATTCGATTTATATAAATTATGATTAATTTCGCAGGTGAGTTTTCAAAAACACACTATTTTAGGAGATTAGTTTTAGAGCAAGAATTGGGCGACATAATACTTTATCAAAACTTGAAAATCGAGGCAAACTGAATAATTGTTATGAAATTCGTTTTTATAGATAAGAAAAGTGACGAATAATTAACGTATTGCTTGATTTAGTATAGTTTCATGGTATTTACTGTTCTATCATTCAACATCCATCACACTGTGAGCTCGTAGAAAAATAACCTGTATTTTTCTTGGTATGTTGTTTGAGGGAGCATGGATAGCATGGGTGTGTGTACATTAGTACTTCGATAAACACGTGATCTACAGCCAAGTCTAAAAAAGAGCTCCACTAAGGCACATACATTGTTCGAAAACCTTGCAAATACCTTTATTATTCTTTTTTGTCCTAATCGATTCTCTAGAAAATTTCAGTTTATTGATACCACATTCTTTGTAAGCAGCCGATGAGTTAAGAAATGTTTTTGAGAAAAATCCATTTATCTTCGAAACAAGATATTTAATTGCGCGGAGCCCTTATAGTAAGTCATCTAGACCACGTATCATTCAAAACAAATCTTTTTCCATATGCTGTTGTATATTTTTGTTCGTGATAATGATTTCGACTAAAAACATTTATTGGTTAGAATACTGAGTGCTTATTAATAAGAAAAAAATAAGAGAAATAGCTGTATAGTGTCAAGAAAGATTTCGTTTTCGAGTCAATGGATAAATGTATTGGCCAAACAGAGGAGACCAGTGACGAGCAGCATTATTGTCGAGAAGGAGTAGTGAGACGAGGCAGTATTGCAAAGATCACGATAACAACAGCAACGTGTCGCTTTTGATAGACCTCCTAGAACAGTAGTTTCCAAGCAAGTATCGTTGCCATCAGAACACGTGCTGCCATCAGGAAGGGTACCGCCGGCACCACGGGTAGTGCCTTGGAAGCCAACAAGATTTCCAATGAATTTCTACAGTTCATAAAAATGAAAAGAAATAATAGTGAATGAAAGAAGAGTCAATATCAGCGTTTACCCAACAATAGTTGTCGTTAGTGCCTTTTATGTCAGCATCAGGTTTACCGTAGGGTTCTTTACAACCTAGGCACTGGTAACATTGACGAGCATCAGTAACACACACACCTAATAAAAAAATTGAACCAACGCTCGTAATGTAACAATCACCGTTGTAACTTACTAATAGCCAGTAGACTAATACCAACAATCAATATAGTTTTAATGCTGACCATTTTTTTTCTTTATTGTATAAGAAATGAAACGAGCAGAGATTTATGTCAATAATTTATAGAGGACTGATAAATCTCTTTCTCCTTTTGCGAACCTAAATTTAATTATGCTTTACCATTCGTCCTTATCCGAGAAGCACTCAAAATTATAATATTGAATACATTTGTTACACTCAAGTTTGCCAGTATACTCAGGCAATCGATCGTAAACAGTAATCCACAAGTAGTCATAAACATCGATCTGTCGATAAGAATATGCGTATATTATACACAACTTTGCATTTCAGCAATATCATATGAAGAATCTTTTCGATTACAATTTGCAATAAAAAGTCTTTTAACTACAAGATACTCTTGTATAAAAAAGAAAAGATAATCTTTTAAATTTTTGTCATATTTTGGACGAAACAGAAGCATACAAAATGACACTGTCCTTACCATTTACAAAGATCACTTAGGTGAATTTTTCAATATGCTTCGTTTTAAAGTTTTGAGTGTGAGGATGTTGGTGGGAGTCTGATACTTTTTACCCTAGCTTTCGATTTGATTCTTGCTACTAGTTTGCGTTCTATAATCCTATTTTATTTTCTACCCTCTTTCTGTCTATAGCAAGATATTTGGTGTTAAGTGATTGATTTGCACACGATTGTTATGGATGTTGTTTGCCCATCTCTTTCTCTTCATTATCGATCTGATCTTGGTCATAGCGTCGTTTCTTTTGACGCGAAAAACGATAACTTATCTATCCCATCTAGATCAGTTTTGCTTCTCAGTTCCTCTCAACGTCGTTGGCTATTTAAAAGTATATTGTCTTCAATACCGTTTTGAATCTGTGTTATGGGCGTGGGTGTGGATGTATGATGAACACAATATCTATACTCACCCACACCCGGTGGCTTTTTAATCATGGTTGAACAATTTTATATATTTGGCAACGTTGATAGATTTACTGAAATTTACATGTATTGTGATTATGTCATTATAAGTATTATATTCATCATACATTATGGCAGTTTTCTTTTAATACCACCTTTCCTATTTACTTGTTCAGAATGTCATTAAGGACTAAAGTAGAAAATATTGAAAACAAGAGGAAAATCTTAAAAAATATTCTCAATTCAATCAAGAAAAAGGATTGCAAATTCATAATCTTCTAACTCTATTTTCTTAAAACTGAGTTGTGTCTCACCAGCTACCACTTATGAAATGAAGTATGTAAATTAAAAAAAAGATTTTGATAAATAATGTTCTATTTGTAGGACTAACACATAACAAGTCGAGATTACCATCACAGGCAATCCTCTTAATAATTATAAAGATTGAACCACATTTAGAGACACAACATTTTTATCTAAAAATATTTCGTATAAAGAAATGATGACGTTCTAGGCGCTTTTGAATGACCTTGTGTGAATATTTCATCGCTGACATCGATTTTGTTTTGAACTCAGCTTATAGAATGATGCATTTCAATGGCGTTTAAATTCAAATAAATGGTTTATTTATTTATGTTAATTCGGCAATGATAATAGATGAATAACAGTTACGAAGAATAGTATAACTAATATTTTCTTTTTATATCCTTTCATTTTTCATTTCATACTGCATCACTTTACTTTAATTAACTAAGGTATTTCAACATATAAACACTGACGTACATTGCCATATTCTGACATATGTCATTTTTAATCGTTCTAATTACCTGAGTAGGCGTTTGAGATATATAAAAAAACATACAAATAAGTTTCTTTTTCAAATTTTATATTCTATTTTCTGCAAATTATCTCAATGTCGACGGTATCATTATTTTATTCTATTGCACATAATCTATTTCAGTTTGGAGGTCCAATACTAGCAAGTGTTGGTACTATTAGTTGCATATTGAATTTAATGGTATTCACAAAAAGTAGTTTACGCAAAAATCCATGTGCAATATGCTTGATAGCAGTTAATATTAGTAATTTCTTGTTTATATATTTTGGTCTACTTTTTACAATACTTGCAACTGGTTATAATATTGATCCTAGTTCGTACAACATAGTTTGCTGTCGATTTCGATTCTATATAGCTACGGTTCTTCCATGCTATGAATCGTCTTGTCTTATTTTAGCATCTATTGATCGCACATTACTCACGTCATCAAATGCAACAACACGACAACGTAGTACATGTCGTGCAACTATTATAAGTATAATTAGCATATGTTTCTTTTGGACAGTTTTTCATGTTCATGCATGGATTTTCACACAAATTCTAGAATATGAACCTAATTACTTTGTTTGTTTTAACCAACCAGGTGCATATACTGTATTCATAACCTATTATTCACTTACAATCAATGGAATTCTTCCACCTGCACTCATGGTAATATTTGGATGTTGGACAGTGAAAAATATTCGTCAAGCACGTCGTATAGGACAGCGTTTAACAACAGTACATACTGGCATTGTTGCAGTTGGTAGACCACATATACTACAATCTAAAGATCAACAACTTATTCGAATGTTACTTGTAGACACAATTACCTATGTTATATGTAAATCTCCACTAATAATCCTATATATCTATGAACAAATTACGCAGTATACAGAAAAGAGTGCAGACCAGCAAGCTATTGAACAGGCGATTTTACAAATAACATACTTTTTATTTTTTACTGAGAGTTGCATTGGTTGTTATACAAATATCTTGGTATCGAAAACGTTTCGCAAAGAACTAAAGCGTATTCTAACGAACACTCGATTATAACATTTTCGTCAAAAACAATAACTATAAAAATCCTTTTATTAGAATATATAAATGTTGTTATATTCGCTTCTAGAGTCTTTAATTATTATCTGAAAATAAAGTGATAATAATACATCAGAAATTCATTTAAGATAAATTCTCTTAGTAAATAGTGACGATAGTTAACTATCAGAAAAGTATGTATGTATTAACGCTATATCAACGAAAACATTCTATCGAATAATAACTTGACAATTGAGATTATTTGTCATATATAAATTGCCAGTATTAGAGATGAAGCTTAGAAAATATTTGACATTGATTAAAAACAAACGACATTATCAGTCAACAATTGTTTAACCAAATATTCATTTAAAGTTATAAAGCATAAAATAGTCTCATCGTATCGTCTTTTCTATTGACACATCGATTAATTTAATCGTTAAATAATTTATTTTTATTTAATTCTTAATTCGATTTTTTTAGTAAATGCATATATGCATGAAATGGAATGGGTTCTGAAGTAGTTAATTTATATGAATAAAATACCAGAAAATATCCGTAATATAATCAAGAAAAAAAATAGAAGATATTATTATTACAACGGTTTGTTTTTATTCTGATTATCAAGTCTTCATTTCAAGATGAAAACTTTTTTTCTTCAAATTGAAGTTAGAATCTAATAGAATTGATTCAATTTATGTTTACTTGATATTTTTTCATTGAAATCTACATGAATATTTACTGTTATACTTTCGATAAGAAAATCAATATTTATTTTTTTAATAATAATGATATTGAACGTACAAAGGTAGATGAACTGTTAGTTAATTGAAAAAAGCTGATATCTAATTTCCTTTTAACATATATTCTATTAATCATATAATAAGTAAAACTGTTTTTTAATCAAGGGTGTGGGTGTGGATATGCGTGCATGACACACTGATGTTCAATTCACCTTTATTCATACTCTTCCCTCTCACACTCTTCAAATCACAATATATTTCTGTTGAAGTATCATTTTTCTTGTACTTTAAAAGAACGATTTGTCGACGTATGAAATGCGCAAATTTATAGAAAATTAGACTGAATCAAAGAAAATACTGAGAGATCCGTGTGCTTTGTCATATCCGATAATTATGGAGACATGTTTCTTTATGCTTGCATTCACAACTGAGAGCAAATCTTTTTAATGTATTTAAATCATCTCTTACATGATTATGCGTTTTTGTCGGTATAATTGAAAGATAATTTCAAAGTATATAGCGTGAAGTGTTCTTTGATAATCATCTAAGTATTATGAATGCACTTTATCATCATAAAAGCACGTTTTTTTCTGCGTGGAAATACATTAGTATAAAAAGAAACGGATGGTATTTCCATTTTCTTTCTTTATATCTACATCTAGAATATTCTAGTGCTTCTTTCTTGTTGATTATAACACGAAGTAGTAAAAAAAAAAGTATTTTGATTGAGTTAAATGTTTTGAGAGGTATACTAACAGACAGAGAAGATTTCTTAGTTTTGAATTTATTCAACAAAGATATATATATTCTTTCAAATAAAATGTCTTCATCAAATGTTACTACTTCATCTGCTATTCAAAATGAAATTGATACAATTAATTCGTTTATTATTTCATATGCACGTTATGTGTATCCTATTATCTTTTTATTTGGTATTATTTGTAATATTTTAAACATTTATGTTTTTACACAATCAACTTTAAAACGAAATCCATGTTGTATGTATTTCTTGGCATCATCTTTCGCTGCACTTATATATACTGCTGTGAATCTACCACTTCGAACTCTTCAAATGGGATACAATATTGATCCAACTGTCACTGTGCTTGTAGTTTGTAAATTAAAAAACTTTTTTGTATATACATGGAGGTAAATTTTAGAATGAAAATCTATATAATTTCTTTCATTTATTTAAATGTAATTAGAGCATTAGCAGTATGGTTTCTGACTCTTGCTTGTATTGACCGGTAAAGCAATTTATTTTAATAAAGAGTTTATTTATTTGTTTTGTTTTAATAATACTGGTAGATTTTTACATAGTTCATCAAATGTCAATTTTCGAGGATGGAGTAGCTATAAAGTGGCTTCTCGTGTAATTCCTTTAACATTTCTTTTAGCTCATCTTGCATATTTACATGTGGCAGTTTTTTATGAAATTCTTTTACCTCGTCGAACTTGTTCAATTCTAAGTAGCTCTTATGCAATGTTTCTTGGTATATGGCATCTACTTACATATGGCACAGGAGCCCCTTTGCTGATGCTATTTTTCTCTTTACTTACTATTCAACATATTCGCCATCGACAAATAGTGCCTGTAAATTCACAAATAAATGAAGCAATTAGAAAATCAAATAAAGATAGAAGTTTGGTTCGTATGGCTTTATTTCAATGCTTAATAGTTGGATTAACAACAACTGCGTATGCTGCTTTTCAATGGTATTCTACATTAACATCAAATCAAGTTAAAAGTAATCTTCAATTAACAAAAGATAATTTAGCGGCTAATATTGTTGGATCCATTTCGGCAGCGGGTCATAGTACAACGTTTTTTATTTTTACGTTAACAAGTCGAATGTTTAGAAAACAATTATTATGTCATCATCGTCAAGAAATATTTTAATCAAAGACATAACACCAATACCATTCATGTTTTTCACATTCACTTGTACCTTTTTTTTGAAAAAGACAGTCTGCGGACATCTAAAAACTGAAGATTCTCACAGTTACACTCAATATAGATTTTAATTAGGGCATACATAAACAGCAGTACGGATATTTAAAAAAATCAAGCTCAACTCTGGCATCTTTCGTTTTAAAATATTTTTCTGTTTTCTTTTCTCTTTTACTATTTCAAAAAGTTTTTTTTTGTATGTGTGTATCAACCACTGTTCTTGTCAATTGTTAACCTTTTGTGAAACAATAAACTGAATGTTAAAAAAGAAATCTACCTAAACTGCTATGCTGGTCCGATACTAAATAGTCGAATCAAATTAGACTATAACTTCAGAATTCAAACTGATCGAACATGAAACTCAAAGCTTTTATCATTTACAAAATCTTGAGAGTGTGGGTGTAGCTGAATAGATACAAAGGCGACTCACACCCACACCTACTTTTCTTATTGAAAAAAAATTCAAATAATTATTTGCATGACTCTCCACTTCGAATAACTTTGGAACTGGTGCAATTCGTCCTCAGAAACAGTGTTATTTTTCATATGTTTACATAAATTCATCTCGGATATTTTCTTGCTCGAAGCATTAAAAACAAACAGACCATTTATTCTGTTCTCTGTTTTTTCTTTTCTGCAGCTTTTTCTCTTCTAAGGCTGCACCGTATTCTTTTCTCTATAGTGAGTGTGGGTATATAGGTGACAATCAGAATAACAAATCAATTTTTGACACCTACAAACACACCCTTAATTGATAATGTCTGTCACTTTTGTAGATTGGAAAAGAGGGTGGATCCAAAACTTCTATCCCTAACACTTCAACATATATTTTACATTTGTGTTTCACGAAAAAGAATACTGAACAGCCTCTTAGAAGTGATAAAGTTGCAAAACAGAAAAAATAGAAAGCATAATAAATTTTTTATGTGTTTGTTTTTAATGCCTCGAGCAAGAAAAAAAATCATCGATGAATTTTCGTACATAAATGAAAAACAACACCGTTTCCAAGGACGAATTGCATATCATGGTTTGCATCAATGACAAAGTCATTCAGAGAAAAGAGTTGCACAAATAATTGTTCGAATCTTTTTTTCAATAAGTAGAGTGAGTATAAATATGCTTGAAGAGAAAAGAGGTTTTTATATAAAAATAAAATCGATCATGTTCATTAACATTTCGTTTTAACATGAAATAATAACGAAGATCTATTTATATTTTAACAATTTTACTTTTCTTTTAACTATCAGTAAAAATCATTCATAAGTAAACTTATTTTATACATGCATATAATTACGTATTAAAATTAGTTTATAAATAATTTATTTTAGATAAAATGATCATTTAAAAAAAAGTGAATTATTCTTAGTAAATATATTGACATACTTTAACTTTTGATCGTCAAGAGTAAAGATAGTCGAAGAACAATCTGATTTTATTACCTTAGATAAGGTGAGTGTCGTTCTTTAATTCCTATTCTTTTTCGAAAGAGAATCAAATCTATAAAAGTTTAGAAATTTATCCTTGAATAATAATAATCATGCATGTTACTTGTTCAAAACTTTGTTATGTTAATTATGAGATATTTATAATAATTCCGATTCGATTAATCAATCGTTTTTTTGTCCTAGACATTTACAAATGTTTTATTCTCTTACGCGTATTTAATAGGTAAACAACTATACTATGTCATTCAAGGTTAATATAACGTATTAAATAAATATTCTTTTCATTGGTATATACAAATATATATTCATAGTTTTTATTAGAATAATTTTTATATGATGAGATTCATTCTACAGACAATACTTTATCAAAATTCTTCATTAGGTAGAAATCAAATATGATGATTCATCAGTCTGTACGATTTTATCTAGTGAGATAGTTGACTTCTTTTCAGTCTTCTATTGTTTTATCCCAATACTTATTCATATACAGAGTTTTGTATAACCTTCTACTAGAGGGAAAGAAATGGAAATCGAAACGTTGATTCTAAATGGCGATGGTGAAACGAAAGAAACTATTGGTAAAAGAAAACATGAGTAAATTATAACTTTTTTTTTTTTGTAAAAATATGATTTATTTAAATATTTAATAGAAATAAATTTCAATGGAATATACTTCATACAAGTGTTGGTATATTAATAATGATAGTCATTTCAATGTTAATTGGAATAAATTTATTGTCATCAAGGAAACATATTCAAAAAGAAATTAGACAAGGTTTTATTTTAATATTTTCATTTCGAATTTATTTTAATTTATTTAGATCATAGAGAAATTATTCTAAAAGCTATTTTTAGTACAGATTTTATTCCTGATGATGATCAAAAATCTTTTCAAATAGAAAATCTTGATGAAATAACAAATGAAGTATTATTAAAAAAATATCTTTGAATCATAATTATTTTTATTATTCTGTTCTAGTTAAATGAAATGTTAAATAAAACAAAAATTGTTGTTATTCAAGGTATATTTCATAATTATTTTACACTAAAAAAATCTCTCGAGTAAATATTAATGTGAATTTTTTTTAATTAAAATAACTTTAATTTAAGACTGAAATGTTTAAATCATTTATATGGAAAAATTCTTCAATTAAACATTCTGATTTCATCATCATCTTCTGATCAATGGATTATAAATGAATTAAAAAATGAATTTCATCGAATGTTAATATTTCCTTTAATAATTCAATTTTCGAATAAACAATATCAAACAATTCCTATGAAAATATGTTCTTTAACCGAAATATCGGGTAAAATTTAATTTGATTAAAATATTTCAATTTATTTTTTTCTATTAGAAGATAATTCAATTTCAATTCGATTAAAAAAGGATACTTTTCAATCAACAATAAGAACGAAAAGAAAAAAATTTTCTTTAGATAAAATATTAAAACGATCTGTTTGCTTAATGAATCCAGGAAAAATATCTCTTGTTTTAATGGCTGGAGAAAAAGGTACAGAAATTCGAGATTATAAAAATAATCAAATTAATTTATTGAATCAAAATCATTTATCTGTTACTATTTATGAACATACAGTTTATTTAATACGTATTGAATTAGATTGTTCTTGGCAATTAAATTCAGATCTATTTGAAAAAGGTTGTAATCTTGCTCAAGATGTTAATGTTTATATTGATATTAATAATGATGGAATTTTTCAATCAAATGAAAGTGGTATACCATTTCATTGGCCAATTACAAGTTATATGGCACAAGGTATTTATGATTTACAATTATATATTCCTTTTATTGATAATAAACATTTAACAAATGGTAAACATCGAATGATGATTAATGTTATGTCAACAGATAATTATCAAGAAATTTGTCAAGATAAACAATATAATGAAAGCAGATTTTACGATATTAATATTATTTCAAGAACAACAGAGATAAGTAAGATTTTCATTTTATCAAATTATCAACAAAGATCAACTAACGAAATAATTTTTTTCATCAGAACAATAATTATCGAAAAAAAAACTTGATATCTTTTGATAAAGAATTTTCTAATGGATCGTTTCAGCGATGTTTATATTGTGAGAGCTTTCGTTTAGCTCGACTATCTCTTTAACTTCTGACCAGTGGTGGATCTAGGGTCTTGGAAGGAAGGGTCGACCACCCCCATCACCCACCCCTAAATCCGCCACTGCTTCTGACAATAGAAACGCTTCTATTGTAAATAATGATATGAGTATTACAGTTCGTATTTTACTCGTTTGAATAAATTTCAGGTCCAACTATTCATTCAACTCCTTCTGTAATATTAAACAATATTGATTGTTCAATTGATCTTGGAAAAATAATTGTTGTTATAATGGGTGGAGAATATCAAACACAAATATTTGATGATGTATCAAGAAATGATTTAGTTAAAAAAAATTCGTTAAATAATGATAATCGTCAAAGTATAATATTTTATGAGAATACTGTTTATCAAGTTCGTATTCAATTAAATTGTAGTCAAGAATGGAATAATGATTTATCGAAAGATAATTGTGAACTTAATTATGATATAAATGTTTGGATTGATTTAAATGATGATAATATTTATCAAAATAAAGAAAATGCTGCACCTTATCGATGGCCACTTCATAGTTATACACCACGAGGTGTTTATGATTTACAAATATCTATACCAATTATTCATACAACAACGAATAAATTCGGACCATATAAAATGCAAATTTTTACAACACTCAATGATCAATATCGATATCAATGTACTAATCAGAATTTTAAAGATATCAGAGAATATACTGTTTATATTATTCCAATAAATACAAAAAACTTAGGTTTATACTTCTTTTTTTTATATTTATTGAAATATTTTTATATTTAGACGATATTGAAATACCTCATTTAATGTTAAATAATGATGAAAATTTATGTTCTATGAAAAATGGTGAAACTGTTCTTGTAACAATGTCTGGTGAACAAGGTTCACATATTCGTGATAATATATTAAAAGATATTTTGAGTGAAAAACAAAATCGACATCATTTAAATGTTTATCTTTATGAAAATGTAAATTATCAAATACGTATACAATTAGATTGTTTAAATAAGGAGAATTGTAATTTCGTACAAGATGTTAATATTTTGATTGATTTTAATAATGATAATATATTTGAAGAATCAGAAAGTCGTATTCCTCATCGTTCGCCATTGAGAAGTTCAATACCATTTGGAATTTATGATTTAAATATTTATATTCCAAGTGTTGATGAAATAAATATTAAAAGTGGACAACATCGTATGAAAGTTATTGTTAAATCAAGTGATGAATATATAAATAAATGTGGAAATAATGATTATTATCATACAAGAGAATATATGATTAATATTATTTCAAAAACAGATTCAACAAGTAATTACATTTTTTTTATTTTAGAAAAAGAATTAGATTTTGTCATAGAAATATTTCAGTAGAAAAAAACTAAATATTATTTTTGTTAATTTAGTTCTCAACGATCCAATTCCAATTGTTAATCCAATTTATCCAACGACAGGTTTGTTATTAAATTAAATAAAAAATAAAACTCAATTCATTTTTAAGTTGAAATTTTCTTTTTAAATAAGGTGGTACGGATTCCGAACAATTCAATACTACCGAATCAATACCAAAGATTCAACAAGGCAAAGGATGCAAATGTTGGTGGATTTTAATCTTTGATTTTCTTATTGTACTTATTTTATTAATTTTATTGATTTGTTGTTTGCTTTATAAATGCAATATGTTCAAACGATGTAAGAGAAATAGACCAACAGAGCCAACACCTCTAATAAAACCGACGCCACCAAACCAAGGTTCACCATCAAAGTCAAAACCTCCCAAAAAACCAACGCTCCCAATTCCTGATCCACCAATAAAGCCAATACGTCCAATACTACAGCCACCACCAAGACCAGTTTCACCGATAGAGCCAATAGTACAGAAGCCACCAAAGCCAGATCTACCAACAGAGCCAAAACATTCACCACCACCACCACTACCGATAGATTTATCTCCGATTGTCATTGGACAGCTAAGTAAGTTTTCTCTTAAAATTGGTTGAGGGTGAGGGTGAGGATGTGAGTGTGATTTATTCTTTTATATTACATTCACACTCCCGTACCCGGCTTCTTCTATAGTTGCATATTTTGCCTTCAAAATGAACAAAACTTTGACGCTCCGAACAGATAATATATACAGAAAATTATTTTCTTCTTATTTTATGTTTTTATAATCTATAGAGATTGTATAGCGTTTCACGCTACATATTCTAGTGTATTTTTTTTAAATATAAGTTATTAAAGGATTTAAAACTAATACTCAAAATATAACCGTGTAACCAGTCTTACTGTTGTCTAAGACTTACAAGTCTGAAGTTTTGTCCATAATCATAAATATGTCTGAGCGTAATTGAACAGATGTTTTAGAAATGAAATCACGACTAAAAAAGAAAATTTATGAAAAAATAAAATCGTTTCTATGGATTAATTTAGAATGGTTTCCAGTGGGTCCGATGACTAATGCTCGACGAAGTCATCGAGCATTATTATTATCAAATGGAAAAGTTTTAATTACAGGAGGATTCAATTATGGTTCTTTAAATAATCCTGAATTATATGATTCAAGCACAAATACTTGGATAACTATTGAAAGAATAAATGATATACGATCAACAAACACTTCAAGAACATCAGAACATGAAACAGAATTAGCTACTGGTCAACTTGGCAGTCATTATTTTATTGATAGTGTAGAATTATATGATCCATCGAATGAAAATTGGACAAATCTTCCTAATATGAATATTGCTCGAGGTGGACATACCACATCTTTATTATCAAATGAACAAATATTAGTTGCTGGAGGATATACAAATGGAAAATATCTTAATAATACAGAATTATTTAATCCATCAACATTAACATGGACAAATACTTGCCCAATGAATGATGCTCGAGCTGAACATACAGTATCTATATTAAAAAATGGTAAAGTTTTAGTTGCTGCTGGATTTGAATATTATCATTGGTTAAATAGTGCAGAAATCTATGATCCTAAAACACAAATATGGACACGTACTGGTTATATGAATTATAGTCGAAGTAAACATACATCATCTTTATTAAGAAATGGACAAATATTAATAACAGGTGGATATAGTTGCGGACATTGGTTAAATACAGCAGAATTATATGATCCTTTAACAGAAACTTGGAAAATTACTAATGATATGAATATTGCTCGTGGTGAACATACAGAATCTGTATTAACAAACGGTAAAGTATTAATTGCAGGTGGCTATAATCGTGGTGCTTTAAATGATGTTGAATTATATGATCCAGAAAGTGAAACATGGACAATAATTACTAATATGAATTATCCAAGATTTTCTCATACAGCATCTTTATTAAATAATGGATATTTATTGATTATTGGTGGAGTTAATAATAATGCTTTAAATACTGTTGAATTATATGATCCATCAAGAGGAACATGGACAATTATTGAAAATCTTAAGGATGCACGTGGTGAACATACAGCAACTGTATTAACTGATAGTAAAGTATTAATTACTGGAGGATCTTATCTTGGTAAAACTTTGAAAAGTGCCGAATTATTAAAATAAATACTTTTAATGACTTTTTATTTTTAATTAAAATGAATGAAATTGTTTAAATTCCATTAATTAGATAAATAATTAGTTTTATTATCCTATATTCCGGTGTGTTTCTTTTCTTTGATATTATAGTTTATGAATTTGTTTTTATATTTATATGATGTATTGAAAAAGTTTATCTTTCGCTTAATATTTATTCTTTATATCATTTGACTAACCGATTTTGAATTTATAATAAAATTTTTATATAAAATAATAAATTTTTCAATTTAATACTTTAAAATGATAGCAAAAGCTTCCTATTAGAAACAATATCAAATCTGAGTGTGGATGGATGTGGCTATTGAATCAATATACAGCCACATCCTAAAAAAATTATTTTATATAAAATAATAGTTTCTGAATTTTAAAGTTGAAAATTTGCCTAATTAAAATCATCAGTTGAACTAGTCTGTCAAAATAATTTCACATCATTGAGAAACAGTTTCACAATGATTATTATATACAAAAAGTTATGCAAGATCATTGTCATACATTAAACTAATTGTATATTCCATAAGTTGTATTGTATTTTCTGTTTGTTAAAACAATTCATACATGTTATTGCATCGAATAGTTCTTTCTTCGAGCACCTATTAGTTTCGTATATTATATGTGAGATAAAGTTGATATTCAGGTAAAAATATTTTATAATTCGAATTACTGATTTTGGAATTTAAAATAAAATATTAAAATTCAATTTTATTTCGTTTAATCAATAATTATAAAGTTTAATTTAAGAAGTATTTAATCTAGTTTCAAAAGTTATACAGTTTATCAGTATATTGCATAAAAGTTAAATGAAATTTAACAAGATAAGTTTTAATTCGATATATATAATGTTATTACAGTATGTTTATTTTTTATTATCATTAAAATTTATTAAACAAAGATATTTGTATCAAATAAAATAATATTATTTTACTAACAAAAATTGCTGATTGATTGTTAGTTAAAGAATGAAATGTATGCATAAATATACAATTCAATTCTATTCGAAATGGTTTCAACGGGCATAGATCTATCATTTGAAATGTATTATAAGATTATTACTTATATTTTGAATTTATTTCTTCAGTTATTACATACATTAGAAGTATTATAACTATTAGTTCTTCTATATATTTGTTAAATTGGGTTACTCTATATATTTACGATTAGTATTTGGCAATATAAATGTCCTGTGTTGAATTTGGTGTGTCTTTCTTGTTTTTAATACAGAGTGTATTGACGTTATCTTTTATAAAGTAATGATTCATCTTGTTGTCTTTCAATAATAAATACTGTTAGGTAGAATTCATTTTAGTCTTATCTCATTTTCGGATAGCAAATAATGTCATTTTCTCTCGCTCTTATCTGTTACACGCTCATCTTTTGCTTATTTATACTAAGTGACTATTATTTTTCTTCTTACTATGTTCATCTTTCATCCAGTCGATTATTACCAACAACATCATGGCTATTACCACGAGTTATTCTTCTGCATTTGATATGTCTTTTAATATGGATTTCAAGCATTCTTTTTCCATTTCTTCGAGTTCCATTTCAATATCATACTCGCTTAACTGCTTTTTACACACAAACAACGTTTCATTTGATAATGAAATGGAGTGCAATTATTGCATCATTTATATTACCTCATTATCTTTGCATTTATTTTATTGTGTTTTTTTGTTGGTTTATGGCTGATTGGACATGTATTATAGCACGGATGGAATCCAAACTTCATCCACAACCATATCATCGTTCATTTCTTGTTCGTGTTAGTCAATCGATGCGTATTATATTTGCTAGTTTGGGTTTAGTAGCAACTATTAGACATATTTTCTTCAAATAAATAAATAAGCATTATAACTATCAGGGTGGGTGTAGGTGTCTTTCTCTCTACCTTCCATCTACACCCACACCCTATTACGAACAATATTTAATATTTGTAACTATATTAATACAAAAAAAATGAATGTAATAAAGTAGAAGTGCTATTTGAAACAAAATGTTTTGTATACAATCGTAAATATAAGTATTACTTTTCAATAGACGTCTCAATGTTTTTACATTGTATTTTGAAATGAATGAGTTGCATGTAGTTACTCTTGCATTCTTTGTTCCAGTATGACACATACAAAAAAATATTTTATTTTCTTCTTCCAATTTTCTATTATCAAAAACAATTTATAACAACAAGAAATATATATTATAACAACGGAAAATATTCATGAAAGTTTTCTGGACGAACAAATGATCCATCTAAATGAAGGCTTTCCAATTGATCGAAATTAAAATACGTTCGATTATTAGTAAAATTGTTTGTTATAGTTATCAGTGGTTTGTACTCCATGGAGAGATTCAGCAAACGAGGCAAATACATCTTTTGTTTGAAGAGAAATAAGTTGACATAGTCAACATGCGTACATTGTAGAGTCATATATGTCAGATAAGGAAATCTAATTAATGTTGATGAATGTTGATTGTCTTTTTGTGGATGATTATTATGTATATATAAGAATTCAAGAAAAGGAAAATCTTGAGAGATGAATTCGAAAAAGTTATATTCAAATGGAATTCTATCATACATTTTCAATAGTCGAACTTTTTTAGATATACCTCCTTGAAAAGAATTGTTGAGATCGACAAAATATTCTTGAGGGTGTGGGTGCGAGTATTATCCTTTTCATTCACACCCACATCCACACACCTCATCCCACCCCTCATGATAGATCGTAATGTGTTTACTAAGTTACTTCACGATAGTCACCCTGGCCGATGATTCGAGAAGCAGTATTCCATGAATTTCCGACTGAAATCCCAAGTAAACTCGCCGTTTTCGGCAGAAACCCTGCCAGAAAAAAGCCAGAAATTCGGTCCTGAAATCGGTTCTGGGTGGAACTGAACGAATTCGATCGCCAGATCCGTTCAACAGGAATACTGCTTCCATGAAATCTCCGGAATACCAAGGAACTGGCCGTTTCCGTGCCGAATTATTGGACCTGGCATTGGAGCGTAAGACTAATCGAAAATTTATTCTTTTTTTTAATAAATATTTTTATTTAGGAAGAAATATAAACTTTACTGAATGAGAAGTGTATAGCATGCTTGAGCGTGTGAGTGTTGTGAGTGGGTCGGTGTGACTGCAAGTATTATCCTTTTCACTCTCACCCACACCCACATTCATTTACAAAAATTTATCTACAGCATGCTCTTTCTTTCTTTTTTCGTTTCTTTGATTCGTTCCCTCGACAGTTAGTCCATATTCCATCTCTTTATTAAATAGATTTATGCTAACTGTCCTCCGCATTTTATGCATATCCATATATATGTATATATACATCTTCTTTTCTTTTTTTTCTAGAATTTAAACTTGATTATGGATCCTAATGTATTTATCGATTCGTTACAAAAAAACTAATTTTGAGGTAAGACCAATCCAAAATATATTTTGTGTGAATAAATATTTTTTGTATTTAGAAAGTCTCTCTAGGACTTTTAAAAGATGCTTCAATTGATTGTTTGCGTGTGGACATGGAACGTGTGAATAAAGCTGAAAGTCCATAAGAACATGATCGATGGGCGGTGAAAGTGAATCAGAGTAAATCTGAAATAAATTTAATCAATCTTTTGATCAATTATATAGATAGTAATTATATGTTTATATATATTAACTTAAATAAATCAAATCATTTTTATTCTAGAAATCTATGTGACATGTAATGAACAATATATTGAACTATTATTAGAAGATACTGATCAACAATCGGATGAAGAACCAGCTGAAGATACTTCACTGATTTTTTAAAAGACATAGTATATTTATTTCTATTTTTTGTATTTTTATCATTGATTAAACTTGAAAAAAAACCTAAGAATAAATAGACTATCAGATTATATTAGTTCATCCGTTAGAATCGACTAACGCTCGCAAGATAAGATTCTTTTATTTTTAAGTTTGTGTGTATATACTGACTTCTGCTTTATCGTTTATTTCTTTACATCGATTCAAAAGAAACTAAATACATAAAAATTCACACAACTCATTCAAAAATAAAAGAATATAACAGATGAGAAGAAGAACATGAAATAAATAAATTAATGAGTGTTTAGAAGATAACATCATTATATATTATATATGTATATATATATATCTTATTTTTATTTTAGAATTTAATATTATGGACCCCCAAGTGTTTTTAAACGAATCAAAAAAACATTGAGTGGAAAGTAAGGCTAATTTAAAATTTATTCTTTTTTTTAATAAATATTTTTCTTTAGGGAAAAGCATTGACATTGTTACGTGATCAGTCTACTGACTGCTTGAATGTAGATATCGACATTCGAGATAAGACAACAAATACATCAGATTTTAATACATGGAATAGAAGAGTTGAGCAAAGTAATATGGAACTAAAAATCATCAACTTATTAGTTCGTTACATAAACGGTAACTATATATATTAGCTTATTTAAGTCACTCAAATGATTTTTGTTTTAGGTGATACTACTCCAGCATCCATTACTGACCATTTGTAGCACGCATTTTTTTAAATTCATTTTTTATCAGGATTGAGGGCGTGAGTGTGGTGAGTGGATCGGTATCGGTGCAGGTATTATCGTTTTTACTCTCACCCATCACACACCCACTCACACTCACCCACACCCTGCCGTCCGCGTGTAATACACAGATAAATATATATGTTGTTTTTTATTTTAGAACTTAATTCTTAATATGGATTTCAAACATTTCCTTGAAACATTACGAAATAGTGATTGGAATGTAAGACCAATCCAAAATTCATTTATTTTAATCAATATTTTTATTATTTAGGAAACATCATTAAACTTGCTACGCAAAAAGTCGATGGATTGTTTAGATTGCGATATAGGACTTCGTGATCGAACAACAAATAAATGAGATTTTAACTTTCGAAATAATAAGGTCAAACAAAGCAACATGGAAGTTCCAGTCATCGATTTAATCATTGATTATATAAATGGTATCCTTCTCACTCACACCCACACCCACACCCTCATTTTAACAGATTTTTCTGAACAATTTATCACAAATTGTGATGCTACAATTGGTCCTGATGAATCAATAATGTACAATGGTTCTTATGTTCGAGATGACTCCTTTCCAGCAAAACATAGTAATGGTACCACGTGAGTGTAACCGATTGATTTGCCTAAAAATTTATCTTTTATACATGAATATTTAGAACAATGTTTATATGTATTTCCAATCGAATTACTAAACCCAATCAATTTGTTTATAAATCACCACCGATCTTACTCCTGAATGTTGGGAAAAGTGTAATTACCATCAAGAAAAGGGTGGGTGTGGATACAGTTATTATCTCTTTCACTCTCACCCACACCCAAAATTTATTCTTTACTTTAATGAATATTTTTATTTAGGAAGAATCATTGATATCGTTACGTGATCAGTCTATGGCATGTTTAAAGATTGATATTGGAATTCCAGACCAAACAAGCAATGCAACTAAATATAACTTTTGGGAGAATAAAGTAAAACAAAGCCAGATGGAAATAACAATAATTAATTTAATAGTTGACTACATCAACGGTAACGATATATATATACTAGCTTATTTGAACCAATCAAATAATTTTTGTTTTAGGCAGTATTCGGGCAGTGAATACAGTACTGTGACGGATCTCATCCATCACTATCTCTTTCATATGATCGACCGATCGTATCACATCATGCATATACACATACACCGGTCAATAATTATTGTTCAACCTTTCTTTCTTCTCTCACCTTTTCTCATGACCGTTTCGCATCATTAGCGATAGATATTTGTTCATTGTTATTCTCGCTCTGCTCGTATATAAACTTGTGCATTCATATTCGTGTAGATTCATTTCTTTTGGTTTTGGATGTTTAACATTGGCATTCAAACTTCTTTTAATAAATGATTAAAGTCAAAAATATTTGATATACTTTCGAAACTTATACTCAACTATAGAAATGATATTCTTGCAATATTATTTGTTTTTCTATAAGTACTATTTCAATAAAGATCAGAAAAAAAACATATTTTTTTTGTGAAAACAATATTAACTTGTGATAACATACAAAAGCAACAGATCTTTCTATATGTCAGTCGTATTAATGTTGATGAATAACAGCACTGAGGGTGGTGTGGATGTGGGTGTGGGTGATATCCTTTTCATTTTCACACACACCCACACCAAGATGGACAATATTTGATGTTGAATGTGTTTATATTTGAAACTGAGATTGCTGAGACCGACATTCAGCCCTGACCGACACCGGGACTGAACGAGATTGGGCCTTGAGTGACTCCGGGCCCCCACCGAGGCTGATATCAGGCCCTGACCGAGACGGAGATGGAAAATCTCGATTTCGTCTTGGGCTCGGTACATCCATAAGTCCTGCGTTAATATATAAAGCAGCCTATAATGCTAGACGTTCATTATATCATGTTCAACAGCTATAGCGAGTTGGTAAATTTTTTTCAGATATTACTTGAATTAATTAATCGCGTATAAATTACAAATAATATTAAGCTATTTTTTTAGTCTAATTTTTCTGACCTTTTCGTATTCTTTACTTTTAACTTATTTTTTTTGTTTTTTTTATGTGAATAGTTGATTTGTAAAATGGAATTCGAAATTCTACAAAAATGCTCATATATATTCACTGTCGATTTTAAAATTATAAAATCAAATTTTTTATTCTTAATAATTTGAGTATCTTATTTTCAAAAAATTAGAAAATCGTCAAAAACATCATATGCGCATTTCTGGAATATTCGTCATCAAATTCTATACCTTATTTTCTATTTTACTGCGTGACAGCTGCAAATCCTACCAATGGTTTTTCTCCGTTAAAATTTACTATGATAATTTTATTCACATTTTGTTAGTGGTAAGATAAACGCTTGAGCATATGCATTAATGATAATGTCGGAACAAACACGTTTTTTCAATATATGCGCGATAAATTTAGATAAAATATAGTCAAACTTAAACGTTTTCTTTCTTCTACAACAAACGAGACAAAAGAGAGAAGAGAAAAGAAAAGAAAAGAAAATGGTATGTGAGAACTAATAAACTCTACTGCACGACACATACACATTTAACTCACCACGACAAGTAATGTTATTAGTTCGATTTTTTCAGTGGTCCTTCCATTTATATTTGGTCAGCAAAGTGACAAGTTCACTTCAGTTCAATCTTCATCATACACATGGGATAAGCGAGAATAACCATAGCACTGGAATGCAGCATGATTGTCTGTACCATGCCACTGCTTCGATTGATAATAATAAAAAACCTTATCAGATAGTTCGATATTGTCTGAGCGAGTGGGCATCAGAATGGAATATAGAGAATAATCGTGATCAAAATTTCACTTTTTCCGAACTACGCCATCGAAATATTACTAGTCAACAACTATATCTTTGGTCGGCACCCATTGATCTTATTGAACGTTACCAATTCTACTTAAATCAACCATTGAATTCAACAAAAACAGATATAGAGACTGAACTCTTCTATAATTGTACACTTCCATGGTTTGGTCCAGTCTGTCAGTATATGTTCGATCAATACGACCCTTATCATTCATCGTTTGCAGAGATAATTCGTGATTTCTATCAAAATAGAAATGACATGAGCTCGTTAACATGTTATACCCATTTACAATGTGATCGTGGTACGCCTTTGATTTGTCTTGACTGGACTGATATTTGTAATGGAATCATTGATTGTCTTGATGGAGGACAGGATGAAGAAGATTGTTGGCAACTTGAAGTTAACGACTGTCTAGATACCGAATACCGATGTCGTAATGGGCAGTGTATACCCAAAGATTTCTATCGGGATGATGAATATAATACTGGCGATATGATGAATCTCGATTGTCTCGATGGATCTGACGAACTGTTTGACGATAATAAACGTAACAGATGTGCAAGACGTGAACCAACATTTCAGTGCGAAGAAGCCACATGTCGTATTACACCAACAATTGATACCCGAGAATTTAAGACATTGTCATCAAGTTCCTGTATCAATGAACGCGGCAAGTTACTCATGCAAGCAATGCTTTCAGTTAAAGAAAATTCGGTGAACGATACATGTTGGCGTGCACTCATGTGCAGCGCTTTTACTCTAATGGTTACTGATGATTCACCATGTTACGGCTTTTGCTATCCTGGATCGTGTACACACTATATCGAAAACAATTGTCCAGATTTGATACTTCTGCCAGCTGTACCCTTGCTGTTCGGTCATGTGCACTTAATCTACACCAATAAGATCATCGAACATTTAGTAGGCATTCTCACTCCTACATATGTGTGCTATAATAATCAACATTGCAGCGAAATGCCAACCACAATCACGTTGCCATCCTTGAATAATGCCACATGTCGCCCTTACAGTGAACTTCCATATCCATTAACAGATATGATTACCGAATGGGACACAATATTCAACCATGTACAAAGTGTCTTTCGCACCTGTACACCAATCGTCAACAATTATTCGACATTTTGTAACATATCCACTATGTACCAGTGCTTCGGTTCATCCAAGTGCATTTCAATATATCGTCCCAATGACGGCATACGAGATTGTTATCATGAAGATGATGAAAACTTCGTCGCAACTACTGAACAAAGTTTATCAAAACCATTCAAAAACTGTTACAAATGTCAAAACTCGAATAAATGCATTAATCATTATTTTCTCAATGATGGTTTATCTCAATGTCCACAGCAAGACGACGAAACTAATGATCATTCCGTTATAAAGCATGTTTCCTTTCAAACAATTTGCGATGGTTTCACCGAACTATGGCCAGTGACTATCGAAGGTCGAGAGGAAACAGACGAAACACAATGTGAACAATGGCCATGCAACAATGTATACACCCACTGCGATGGAATTTGGAATTGTCTCAATGGATCTGATGAACTTAATTGTAATACTACGTTGCCACGATCCAATTGTACATCTCATCAGCATCTGTGTGTCTCACCCATAACAAATAAATTCATGTGTTTATCTATTGAGCAAGCCAATGATAACTTTACTAATTGTCTTGGTGCAACTGATGAGCCTCGAATATGTAGAATAAGTCAAAACCCACGTAACACATACAGCTTTTACTGTGAGAATGATGGGCATTTACCGTGTATTCATTATAACAATCTGTGTAATGGCTATAAAGAATGCAAGTATGGCGAAGATGAAGAATTTTGTGAGCCTGTTGACTATCAGGAATATTGTTTTAAAGAAGATCCACCGTTTGTCTCTGATGTCAGATTGTTTTTTTGTCACCGTCTCCAAGATCAAAGAAAACGGTCGCAGGTATTCTTCTTACTTGGTCCGACAAATAATTTCATCAGACAAACAAATGTGCCCAAACAAAAACAGAATACTCTATTGCCATCGGCATCTATAACTCGAGCTACTTCTCAACGTGAGTATCGTTGTCATCACGGTATCGATATACGCATCTGGTTGGGTAGTAAAAAGAATTCGACAACAATCACTAGTTGCCTCTGTCCGCCGAACTTTTATGGTAACACATGCCAATATCAGAATCAACGAGTGAGCCTCACCATTCAGATTCGAGCACCACCCAATGATGGACGTACACCATTTGCATTTGTTGTCTCACTTATCGACAATGATGATCAAGTAATTAATTCTTATGAACAACTCACCTATCTCTCGGCAAAAGCCTGTCAAAAGAAAATTAATATCTATTTACTTTATCTGACTCGACCAAAAAATATGACAAAACACTATTCAATACATATTAATGCATATGAGAAGATATCATTAGTCCATCGAACAAGTTGGCTGATACCACTTAATTTTCCATTTTTACCCGTGCATCGTATCGCCACTATTCTTACCATTCCAGCGAGGAATGATGTTGCGAAAAGTTGTTTGAATCACCTATGTATTCACGGACAATGCACCAAGTATGCTAACAACAACACAATTGACACCAGTTTTTGTCTTTGCAATCAAGGATGGACTGGGCGGTACTGTAATATTTCATACACATGTAACTGTGCGAATAACTCTCTATGTGCTGGTGTACTTGCTGAAAATCAATCTATATGCGTTTGTCCTCTTGGTATATTCGGTGAAAGATGTTTTCTCAACAATATAGTGTGTCAATCCAACCCGTGTGACAATCGTGGACAATGTATGCCCGTTGATGAAAACACTGCATCAAACAAATTTACATGCATCTGCCCCGAAGGCTTCAGTGGAAATACATGTCAAATTAATGACACAAAAATAGTTGTTTCATTTGAAAAAGGTATAACTCTATCACAATCAATAATTGTTCATTTTATTCAAGCATCAAAATATAAACTCCACGAGCGTAGCACTATTTTCAAAAAGATTCTGGTCGATCAAAACTCAGCGACGATCTATTGGTCATATCCATTCGCTGTTATGCTTATCGAAACTTCTGAGAGTACTTATTATTTGGCTGTTGCACAAGAGACATATGTTGCATCGACGACGGTTATGAGTACCATCAATCCATCACATCGATGCGCCCATATAAATGAATTATTTAATAAGACATTCGTCAAATCACATATTCTTCATCGTATTAAGTACTATCATACACCGTGTCAAAACCGTTCATCACGACTGTTGTGTTTCTATGATGATATTCATATTTGTTTGTGCACCACTTTTGAGCAGAAACGATTGGCAAATTGTTTCGAATTTGATCATCATATGAAACATGACTGTATTGGTCAAAATACATGTGAAAATGGAGCTAAATGTTTTCAAGACAATCTCAAATGTCCACAAGCATCACTATGTATGTGTCCTGAATGTTTCTATGGAACACAATGTCAGTTTACTACAAAAGGTTTTGGCCTTTCGTTGGACGCCGTTTTGGGCTATCATATTCAACCTCATGTAGCCCTTCAACATCAATCCTCAACTGTACAGGTTAGTGTAGCACTCACCACTATCATGTTTGCTCTAGGAGTCGTGAATGGTATTCTTTCCATAATGACATTCAAGATGAAAACTATACGGCAAGTTGGTTGTGGTATCTATCTAATGGTTTCATCGATCATATCTTTACTCACGATCATGCTATTTGCGCTCAAAGTCTGGTTACTCGTGGTGTTACAAATGGCAATGATTACGAATCGATCATTTCTACATATTCAGTGTATTTCTGTGGATCTTCTTATACGAGTTTGTCTTAGCATGGGTCAATGGATCAATGCATGTGTCGCCATCGAGCGAGCAACAACTGCAAGGAAAGGAGTCAACTTTAACAAGATTATGAGCAGAAGAGTAGCTAAACGGGTTGTTATTATCCTTACTCTTCTAATAATCAGCACAATCATTCATGATCCCATGCATCGAAAGCTAATCGATGATGATGATGAAGAGCAACGAACTTGGTGTATTGTCACTTATTCAACCAGTCTTCAAGTTTTCGATTCTATTGTCAACATTATTCATTTTTTTGTTCCATTTTTCATCAATATAATATCGGCTATCGTCATTATCATAACAATTTCTCGACAACAAGTACTTATTCGTCCTCGTCAGACATACAAGCAACATTTGCATGAACAATTTCAAAAACACAAACAACTACTTATTGGGCCGTGCGTACTAACCGTTCTGGCTTTTCCACGTCTATATATTTCTTTCATCTCGAGTTGCATGAAATCAGCTCGTAGTCCATATTTATTTCTTATTGGCTATTTCATTTCATTTGTTCCATCCATGCTTACTTTTCCCATATTTGTCGCACCATCGAAATCGTATAGAAAAGAATTTCATAAATCAATCAAACAATGTACAAACGTTATATATCAACGTCTATATTTCAACCAATGAGAAAGAAGTAACCAGACTATGGAGTTATCATATATTCGTTTTTTGAACAACACAAATAGAACGTTAATTAACTATTTCGAACGTATGATTCACTTTCTGATATTGTGTTGGGTGTATGATACAGTTTATCAATGAAAATTCTAGTAACACATTTTATCAAAATTTTACAGTATGGGAATGTGGGTGTGAAAGAAGGCGAGACACTCACAGCCTGCTCATATTATTAAAAACTAAAAAAGTTATATATATATTTCTTTTCTCTTACACTGTTATTAATTAACTTCTTATACATTATTTATTAAAAAAAAATTTCATGTTGATTTGCCGAATTTTGTTCAATTAATTTAAATAAATGAATAATAGACACATTATATGAATTCAGTTTTAATTTCGTAGTTTTTGATAACAATCGATTTCTGATTTTTGTGCATAGATGAACGCCATCTTGTATAAACATAAACATTTGAATTCGCTTTAGATATTGCCAAGACGACCAACTTGATGGACTTTCAATTTTGAAAGTTAGCGTATTATTATAAACGTTTAATGGTTCAGTTTTGACAAGGAATGTGAATGCTAAACGCATTCCTCTGATATAATTTGGGTCACCATCTGTCGAAAATCCTAATACGCGAGTTTTATGAGAGTACAATTGATGATATATCATAATCCAACGTTTCAAAACATCTGTAGAGGTGATCCTGTTACCAGTATCATATGCAGCTAAAACTGTTGATGCTTGTGCTATAGAAAGATCTGAGTTTAAAATATAGGTTGTAAACAATGTACATTAACTAGATTTGCACGTGGATTATTTTCCATTAAAATTTGAAGTTCTTCAAACGATTGGCCTCCCGTCTATGACTGGTGTAATTAATCCATTAAAATTACTAGATACAGAGACGTATTGTACTCTTGAAGGTGAGTGTGGGTATTTTATTTCACTTACGTCCATATCTACAGCCACACCCACTCCTGGCTTTAGCCGATGCATCTTGTTGTAAAGTAGATGAAATTGTAAAAACACCGAAAACAAGCGTTGGTAATGCTACAAATAAAATTATTGCTTTATTTGTTTCATGAAAAAGATTTTAACTTGTGTTCTAATTTATGAAATTTTATTAAAGAAAAAAAGAATAGTTTATTGTATTAGATTTCAAAATATATTAATAATGCAAAATATAAGTCAATAATCAATATCTATAGAAAAGCTTATGATCTATTTCCGATTATAAATATTTGTAAAGAATTTTAGTTTTGTTCGAAATTTTTCGTGTAACATTGACCAAGTAAATCGCCAAGTCCAATTTTGTGGACCATCATAATCGGGATTTGATGCTAAAAAAATGAGTTATTTTTAGAAAAATCGAATGATGATGATGATAACTTACACAATGATGGATCATTCATCCGACAATCATTACCTAAACCAAGTACGTCTTGAAATTCAATAATAGTACGATTAGCTACTGTTCCTAATACCATTTGTATCAAATACCAATTGATATGTTTATCCAAATATGATATAACAATATCTTGATTACCTAATTTATCATGATCATCGGCATCATGCATGATTGGAATATTAATATATTCTAAAAAATTTTTCTTTTCATCTTTCAATGCATGATGTATCCACCAACCAACAACCGTTAGAGAATCATGTGTGCCTGTATATGCCGTACAATTTGGTAGATAATTATGTGGAAGATGAAGATTGTCTGGTTGAAAAGTAAAAGCAAATTGTAATATTCGAATACCAGTCAGATTGAATTGATCACGTAATTCAATGATTTCTTTTGTTATATTACCGAGATCTTCAACGATAAGAGGTAAATCTTTTCCTAATGCATCGAAAATAGCATTGAAAAATTCAGTTCCTCTAATTAAAATATTGAAAAGAAAGTTTGATCAATTCGAATGACAAAACTTACGGTGCTTTTACCCATTGACCATCTTTTGGTTGCAAAGGAACATGATTTTCATCGACAGGAATTGACCAATAGGATTCAAGACCACGAAAATGATCAATACGTACAATATCAACTATTTGTAATGTTTTTTCTAAACGTTTTATCCACCAATTAAATACTGCAGATTTTTTTAAATTATCATTCCAATTATAAATAGGCGTATTCCAATTTTGACCATTTGTACTACAATCATCTGGTGGATAACCTGAAACGACAGATGGAAGTAATGTATCATTGTCTAATTGAAATATTTTTGTATTTGCCCATACATCAACAGAATTATAATCAACATAAATAGGCATATCACCAATAAGTTTAATATTTAATTGATTTGCATATGTTTTTAATTTTTTCCATTGTTCATGAAATATATATTGAATAAAAATATAATATTGAATAAAATCCTGTTTTGTTTCGCGTATTTGTTGCAATTTGTTTTTTTGATAAAATTTCAATTCATGTGGCCATTCTGACCATGATTTCTTATTTTGTTGCTCTTTAATTGTCATATATAACGAATAATCATCAAGCCAATCATGTTCAGATTGAAGAAATTCTTTCAATAAATCATCAACTTGTTTTTGTTGTTGTTTTTGAAAATTTTCGAAGGCTTTCTTCAAAATTGTATGTTTATATTCCGTTACTTGTTTAAATTTTACATATTGATCATTCAATTGAAATGTAGATGGTATAATTAAATCTTCTTTTGTCAATAATTTCATATCATATAATTTATCAGGACTAATCAATAATGGATTACCAGCAAATGCTGATACACTAGAATAGGGCGAACATTTTTCAGTCGGCGTTAATGGTAATATTTGCCATAGTTTTTGATTTGTTTCATGAAGAAAATCGATGAATTTATATGCTTCAGGACCAAAATCACCAATACCATACGGACTTGGTAGACTTGTTATATGTAATAATATACCTGATGCGCGTTCTCCGTTCATTTCGAAGTATTTTTTATAATGATAACATACTCAGAATATACAATATATATATATATATATGACGTCGATTAAATGCAAATACATATTATAAGAAGGGAGAATGTGATTATATGCATGAAAGAATCGGCGTAAAAAACACATTTTTATCCTTTCTATCATTACACTTGTATTATTTTGAACAGAACGCAAAATTTTTTATTGCTTTCATATAGGTATAACAAAAGCGAGAGAAGTAATTCTTCTATCTTTTTTTATATTCGTTCTTTCATATACTTTATAGAGAACGTGTGAATTTTTTTTTTAATGTCAAATAGATTCAAGATAATGCGTATTGTTGTTGTTAGATGTGGAAATATGAACACAGTAAATAAACAATTAGGTGGTGGTTATGCTCCATTCAATGACATTCATACCGCCTCCACAAAATTTGAAAAAACTTAAAAAAAATTTACATTTCCTTTATAAATTGAAGTATAGTAATAATGATAACTGATAAATAAAATAGGCACATTGAATTACTGTTGAATACAAGAAAAAATTTATTTAAATTAATAATTTAACAGTGATGCAATGAAATTCATGAAGAACTTTACGTTTAAATATAAGAGTAGAAAGGGAAGATATTTAAGCAAGAAAAAAAATGAAGCCCACTTGTAACAAAAAGAAGAATTTGTTTAGGTAATTGCATTTCATTTTGTTTCATTCATTCGAACTTCTCAGGTCGAACAATCCAACACAGAAACGGTCGGTTCCACCCAGAACCCATTCCAGGGTCCCTGCCGAAAACGGTGAGTCTGCTGGGGATTTTCGTTGGAGATTCATGCAATACTGCTTCAAGAATTATCGACATGGGTTGAATTTTGTGAGAATTCGATTTCTCCTAAAACCAGAAAGAAAATTATAGAATTAAATAGATGTTTAACAAAAAGAAGAGTGAATAAAGACTAACCTTGAAATTCATCTTCTTGAAAACTAGGGCGAATAATGGAAATTTTGTTTTTATTTTCCGTGTAGTAACTCGACATAAATAATTTTGATACTTTGTAGAATTTCGTTTTATGTTCATTTGTTAAATCCTAAATAAAACTATTCTCATTAGAATTAAATTTATTGAAGTTTATTTCGATCAGAATTATGGTTGAATCACCCCCAGGTCGAACAATCCGGCACGAAAACGGTCGGTTCCGTGGTATTCCGGAGATTTCATGGAAACAGTATTCCCGATGAACGGTTCCGGTGACCGAATTTATCTGGTTTGGGCCGGAACTGACAGGAACATGTCAAAAAACGGCATCCGGATACGGTTACCTCACTTCTCCATCGGATTCCAGGCATTTTGCGAGCGGGTCCCGCCCAGAAATGGCGAGTTTCCTCACGGATTTTGTCGAAAATCTATGGAATCCTGCTTCAGGAACCATCATCCTGAGATTTTTCATTTGTTGTAATTTAGTGACCTGAATGAAAAAAATACCTTTACTTAAATAAGTTTTTGCTAATAAATCTTACTGTAATTTTATCCGATATGATTTTCGAAAGAAACGAAGTCATTTTGAATGAAAACGAAGATTTTTCTACAACAGAAAGATATTTATAGAAGTAAAACAAAGAACGATAGATGATTAAGATATAACTGTCTGATTATAGTATGGATGTATATTCACCGTTTGTCAATAGAAACTTGCCAGGCACTAAATGAGAATGTTTTATACACAGAATGGCAAAGAAAATAAGAGAGCGATTATTAAAGCAAGAGGATATCATCTTCCAATACATGACATCATCATCTAATATAATATACTAATGTTTTCTTTTTTTCTTTAGTTGGCATGTCATCCATACGACTATCTGAGAGTGCATGCATGATCAATATTTCTTTCATCGAAGACATCCTTTCGTTTTTGAATCGTAAACTTCTCTAGATTTCTTTTAGTTATTATGTGCATAAAGGACGATTATGTATTGACGGCTCGTCTATTAAATCGAAAGGATTCAGCTACGAATTTACTCGTCCTTCAATTAGTTGGTTAATTATACAGATAATTCACCTATGACAAGAACATTCATAATATCTGTATTGTTAAGATTTTATTAATTAAACAAAGCATATTTAAATTTATGAAAAAATATTAAAAAATGAATCAAACGTTTTAAAATGATTGAATAAAATCAAATTAAAAATAAGAGTATATAGTAATATTATTAATGATGCTTGCTAAACAATTAATAGGGTTCTACTAGTTGACGACTATGAAGTTTATTCAGAGCAGTAAAAGAACAATACTTATACGTAAGGTTTTTTAATATTTTTATTTTATAAAATTATCTTTTATAATTATCCACAAAGATCAACTAACGAGAGGGTGTGAGTGTGGATGCAAATGAAAAAGCAGAAAGAAGAACCCACACCTACCCCACACCCTTACTTTTTCTTGTACTTTGAAACCTTTTATTTAAAATAAAATACAACACAGAAAAGAAAAAATCGTGTTGAAAGTGTGGATGTAGGCATTGATATTTAATTGATTCTCATCCTCAAGATCGATTAAAATAGGCAAAAAAAAATGGTTAATCAACAGAAAAAATTATAGTCAGTATGATTGTAATTTGTTCGTCTAACTGATTATTTTCAAATAATAAAGTTCTATTTTGTAGAAAATCAGCGCAATTAAATAAATCGCTAAAATAATGATCAATGGTAATATCATAAAAGAAAGCATGTGAGTGAATAATCGAATTGGTTCATAGATAGTAATGACAAAAGTACATAATGGATGCATTTCTTCAGAGATAGTCGATCCAAATGGTTTATAATTATTTCCAAATAACCATTTTGTTATACGATAATAGAATCGAGGAAGATCGCCCATTCTATGATGAAAATCATGTGTTCCATGAAAACTAAACAAAACAAATTTAAATGTGTTATATTAAATATCAAATTTTTCTATAGTGTTTACAAGTCAACATACGACGATGTTGAGAGATTATTAACAAGCAAATATCCACTAAGAGTCACTGGTGAAGAGAAACCAATGCGTTTCGAATATATTATTTTTTCAATAGCTATTGTACGACCAAGCATAACTAATCGATGATGAAGTGTTACTTGTGATGCACATATAGTATCCATTTTATTTATACTGCTATCGAAAATAACTATATAATGTAAATCTGTTAAACTAACTTCATGTCCTTCATTTGTTATAAATGTATAGAAATATGCTATATTTAAAGTAGTTTTTTAAAACTTCATCAAAATTTTAACTTATACAAACTTGGAGTATTTAGTTCAGCATGTACTATTATCGTTATTTCATCTTCGATCAGATATTGACCATCATAGCTTAATGTCCAAACACGATCTCCAGGTTTTACATTACCGATTCGACGTTGTCCACCTTCGACTAGATTGACATAATCATTAATATAATAGCACACTATGCACACATAAAAAAGAACTTGTATTGTTTTTAGAATTGAAAATATAAAAGAGATGAAATTACAATATTTTAATATGATTACATTAATACATTAAATATGAAAGAAAACTAATTACTCACATCCTATCGAACTTGTCGTAGTTGTTGTCGTTGTTGCCCTGACTGCTATAATTAAAATATTGATTAAACGATTACTATAAATATTAATAGATAATTTCAAACAGTATAAAATATCGACTTTTTTAAAACTAGCTATTGATTAAAAATTAATTAGTGAATGGCTTTTCTTATATATAGAATAACTTCAGTTCAACTATTTTTTATAGATTCGGAAACTTACTAGTAGTACTATTCGTTCTGGTTGTGTTGTGCATGGCCATAGTAGTAGTTGTAGAGTCTACATTAAACAAAAAGAAAATAATAGCCAAAAAGTTCTGTATAATTTTTATCTATATTATAGTTTAGAAATTGCCCTAGAGAAACTTGTTATCATCTTTTCAATAAGTAAAGAGATGGATTTTTTAATTTTTTTTTATATAGAATTTTTCCTTATCAAAAGTAAATCGAGAGTAAATATACTATTTTTCATCGAGTTTTATTTCATTCACTGACAAGAACAATCCGAACTACTTCTTATCAACATATGGACGTTTTTTTTGATAGAAATCCTTGTAACTCAAATTATATGTAGTACAAACAAGACTATTTATGTAAAATATACTCATTGCTGCTATTGCATTGAATGTTGTTGTTGTTGTTGTTGGTGCAAGTAGAGGTTGGAAGTAAAAAATTGCATTAATTAATGGGACCAGTCCAATATCATTGGAAGAATAACCATTAATTAATTGACAGGTTTGATTTCTTGCTATATAAATCCAACCAACAGCAGAAGACATTAGACCATTACATGTACATTGTTGACAAGTTATATTAGAATATGTTTGACTAATATTTGATGCTAAAAATGTTGCATTAGAAATGTAACCAATATAAATTGAACAAGTACTATTAATAGTAATCACCAGTATAACTGTTATATAATGAAATAAACTACTAATTTGCATTGTATATGGAATAATTTTAGAAAATTATTATCTTAAATAGATTTAAAAATATAAGAATGGGGAAAATGATGAGTTATTAGTTTTTTTTATAACTAAAGCAATGTTTTGTATAATTTAATAAAGGAATATGATGAATGATATATTAACTCTATTACGTATTGCACCAATAAGTTTATTAAGTAAATACTATTGTTCTTTCTCAAAGTAAAAAAAAGAAAAACGTAATTCTCACTTATGCAACTATCATTCAAGCTGATACTTTCTGTTTAAGCTTAGATTTTCTTTATAGTGCTTATAATGAACTCTAAGAGGATTCGAGCCAGTAAATGAAAAGAATGAGTTTTCCGTCGAATATACTTATAATGCCATCTTATCATTGGTAACAATTAATTCAATATATTTCAGTGATCACATGTTTTTTTTGTACTAACCTGTACTTATTAAACGTAAGTGCAACTACCTACTCAAATAGTTATTTTTATTATAATGAATATATTTGTGAAAGAAAATATGATAAATCAACGGAAAAAGTAAAGAAAACAATCGGAGAAATCCATTAAAAAGAAATTTATTAATGCTTTGTTAACAACCGTCCATTGATTATTTGTATACTTATAATAATGAAAAAAAAGAATCATATATTTGAAATCCTACATCTAAAAATTGTTCCCATTTGATACAACAAACAACTCTCGATGAGACTAATTTGTTTAGATTATCTTTCAAAAACTATAACATATTCACATTCTATATTAAATTTTAAGTAAAACTCGATTATTTTCGTTATTACGTAAAGATTGTGATTCGATATCTGCAAGACACAAAATCTAATCAAGAAAATTGATAGATTGCTACTTAGTGCCTTAATTTTGTTGTTGTTTCTCTTTTCTTATTATTAGATTCGGCTGCGATATGGTTTTCACCCTTCTGTCTTCTATATGTTGTTTTAATAAAGAGATAAAGGTATAAGTATTTATCGTGCAGAAGGATCGACATATATTAACTCATGTTTTTTTTCCTCTGTTATCTTATCTAAAGTATTTTTAAAAAGTAACATAAGACTTCAGCTCACATTTTACATGTTGGTTGAAGAATACAAATGTTGATAGATTATTTTCAAGTTAGTCTTCTTTTGTTGGCTCTATTCTCCAGCACAAGTATGATGAATATGTCATAAAGCTGCTCTTTTTCTCTTGCTTTTTTCTGATCAATACCTACTTGAAATTTAGTATATAAACTTGTAAATTATTTAAGAATAAATATGAAGAGGTCTGATTTCTTCTAGTTAATGGCCAATTTCGTTTTGCGAACTATTATCAAAACCATATGGTTCTTCAACGTGCTCCACAGAAGTCAATCGTGTGGGGTTATGGTGATAGTGAAAATGTATCGATTACGTTGAAGATGAACGGGAAAATTTACCGGACGAGAAGTTATTCAACGAATGAAAGTATCTGGTCAGTAACATTAGATGCTGAAAGTGAAGAAGGTCCTTTTCAACTAATTGCTACACAACAAATGTCCAATGGATCTCAGAAATCGATCAGTCTCAATAATATTCTTTTCGGTGATGTATGGCTCTGTTCTGGTCAATCTAACATGGGAATGGCTGTGCAAAAGATGTTCAATAGTTCAATTGAGATTGAAAATGCTGGAAAATATCCAAAAGTGAGATTATTTGCGGCATCAAAACAACAATCAATTAAACCTGAGGAAGAACTTTTGGGTATTGGATTAAAGTGGTCGATTGCATCACCGGTAAGTGTTGGTAATGCGTATACATCAGCAGTATGTTGGCTTTATGGTCGAATGATTTATGAAGGCCTGGATGATAAACGACCTATTGGCCTCATTCATACATCCTGGGGTGGTACATCTATTGAGCTATGGTCACCACCTGAAGTACTTAAAGATTGTCATGTTTCAATGTAAGTTTGAAAAATATTAATAATTTGAAATTAATAATCTGTTTTAGAAACAAGAGGATAGAGTTTGAAAATAGCGACGAGACAGATTTTAAATTTGATGCAGCACTGAATAATTCAGTCCTATATAATGCAATGATCTATCCATTTACACGCATGGTTATCAAAGGAGTGATTTGGTATCAAGGTAAGAACCACATATGTCAAAGATTAGCAAAAATTCAACGGAATTGTACTTAGGTGAATCTAATGTCATTTATAATCGAGATAAGTATCAGTGTACATTTCTTAAAATGATTCAATATTGGCGACGCATATGGCAAAAACGAACAAATTTGACAACAGATCCAACATTTCCATTTGGTTTTGTTCAAGTAAGTAAAAGTCATTGTTTTCAGTTTATTTCGTTTTATAAAAAAGTTTCCTCTGTATAGTTATCGACAAGAGAGTCAAGTGGTAAAATTATAGGTGGATTTCCATGGATTCGATGGCATCAAACTTTTGATATAGGATTTACACCTAACAATGCTACGCCAAATGTTTTTATGGCAACAGCTATGGATTTACGTGATGATGAAGGAGGGTAAAAATAAAAACCAAGGTATTTTATATGAACTTTTAATTTCTTGTGAATAGTATTCATCCTCGAACAAAGCTTGATGTTGGCTATCGTCTATCTCGATCCGGTCTTGCTATTGCTTATGGGCAAACGCATGTTACTTATCAAGGTCCAATTGTTCGCGAATTCGGAAGGGATAGCGATGATCGAATGAATGTTACGTATTGGAGTACTATATCATCTTCCATTGAGTTACGCAACCCGAATGGATTTGAAGTATATCTCGTTTATATCTACTATTTTATACTATTAATAATCTTTTGTTTTAGATATGTTGTCAAGTAAAACAACTATGTATGTCAAACGAAACGGTTTGGTTAGCTGCACCTGCGAATTATAATCCAAAATCACCTATTACTGTTAAACTTAGCATACCAATAATATGTCAAACCAAAAACGTTCATGGTATTCGTTATCTATGGCGAGAAACACCTTGCTTATTCAAACAGGCTGCCGTCTACAGTACGGCAGATTCGAATCTACCCGCTCCACCATTCATTCAGTTTCTTTAAGATTAACAGACAGTGTACTGTTATCGTATAGAAGCTCCTTTTGTATCTAAATATATTGCAATGATAAACGTTCAAATGCTAGTAGAAAATGCGTTCGCTAATAAAAGTAAACAAAACATATTGCAAGTTTTTAAGAAGATATTATAAATATAGTTCTAAAAAATATTATCTAATAACTGTCGACATGAGATTTCATAGCCATATTTTTGATCGTATTTCTTCGTGATAACATAGTGAAAATTATATAATATTCCATCATTTTTATTGAATATAACTTAAAATGAAGTGTTAATATATAATAAATATTTGAGAAGTGTGGCTATAACAACATCCTCAAAATAGCACCAAAAGAAAAAAAATGGAATCTGTTATCAGGTTATTATAAAAGAATAATTTTTTGTTTAAGTATATTTCGATGATTCTATGAAAAAGTTAGTTAAGTGTGGCAAAGTATTAAATATTATTAATTGCGCATTGAAATTTCTGCTTAAAAAAGCCTGAAAAGTGATTGAAACATATTTTATTAGTTTATAAGAAATCAAAATGTCAATACATATTCAATGAATCTAGTTCCGTACAAAATATTTATATAATCAAAAATTAGGATTAATAAAAGCATGCATAATGTATGAAAAATCTTATTTCATTTAAGAATAATGTTGTAACTTGTCGGTATTTTGTTGCATTTCAAGTACACATTCAAGATTTTTCTCCACTTGTACTTTTTCTGATTGTCCTAACGGTGCTTTATTCGAGTATATTTTTAATGCACGTTCAAAATAATGACGTGATTCAGGTAAGTCACCTAAATTCATCTTTATCATGCCGAGTGTATTCAATAATTCGGCTATGTGAAATGGATTTGATGAACGAGTACGTTCAAAAATTCCCAAAGCTCTTGTACCTAATTTCAATGCTTGAGCATCATCAGTAAGATCATGATGAATACTTGCTAGTGAAGCTAAACTGGTGGCTACAATTATATCATTTTTAGATTCATTGGATTCGCACAACGTCCATGCTCGTTGTGCATAATCAAGAGCTTGATTCAATTCTTTTCGAGCTCGATGAGAACATGAAATAGTAGTAAGACAAGCAATCATCGAAGCCGTATCGCGTCGCCGAGCAGATTCATACAACGATAATGCACGCGTATGACAATTTATTGCCAAATCAAATTTACCACATCGATAATAACATATACCAAGCCGTAAAAGTGTATCAGGCAAATTTTCATCCGTCTAAAAAAAACGATTTTAACATATCCTATGTTTCTTTTTGGAAAATATTAATAATTCAAAGTTTTACCTCATCTTGCATTTTCAGTGCCAGTCCATAACATTCAATTGCGGTATCATAATCATGTTTTTCCTCGGCAGATAACTGTCCAATTATTTTAAGAATTCTTACTGTTAGTGGTCGAATTCGTCGATAAGCCATGATAGCTCGATCAATATCTCCACGTTCTAAATATGCTTTTGCTTGCAATTCTTCTTCAGATATTTGTGAATTACTAACGGGATCTGGTTCTTTCCTAGATTATCTGTATAGTGATCGAATATGATATTTTAGTGAATATTAATACCTGACTTCAATTTTAGGCGGTGTCGGTGGTTTTGGTGGAGCTGATAATTCGTCAAGTAATACTTGTAAAGTTTTTCCTTTATTATTTTCCTTATATTGTGATGCTACTTTTTTGCCGTCTTCAACAGCAGTCTTTAATTTGATGATTGACATAGCACCTCGATTGACACATATCACTCGAAAACTTGTTGCAACATCGAAAACGATTATAGTTGAATTATTCTCCAATAAAACTTCGGCGAAATGAGCGGATGCATCAAAATCAATTTTAAATAGAACAGATGTGAGATCCGTTCGATAGCCAGGTGATGCTGCTGATTGTAATTCGACGTTTCTCATTTTACTACACATAAAAAATCCATTGGCACATACTAATTGACCTGTGTGTGTTTCAAACATATCGATTAACTCAGCTGGTAGTTTCATACCTCGAAAGAGTTGTCCATGATTAGGTTGTTTTGATTGTTGTTGAATACTACGACTTACATTAGTGGTAAGAAATTGATACGATGAAAGTAATTCGCCTATACGTGAATAGAGTGCATAACGTAAAGGACGTGATGGAAATATTGAACGAAAACACCAACGAATTGCGTCGTTTGATCGATATCCTTTATCGAATTCTTCGATTATCTTCAATCGTTTTGGATTCGTTCGATAGTAATCTCGAGCTTTTTCTACTAAATCATTTTTACAATTTGATGCTGAATTTTTAACTGTTATCTATGAGAAAGAAAAGTAAATACTTAAATTTTCTTGAAGAACAACTTACGCTTTCTTTCCATAGTTGCCACCATAGAAACATTTTATCAGTTTCGAATGTGAATTTTTCCAGTTGAAGCTGCTCAAATGTATCCAATGTTACTCTAAGTACTCGTAGAAGTTCTTCTTGTTGATTAAAAATACCGGTTATTTTTGGTAATTCTCCTCGAATAGTGTTCATATCTGGATCGAGTATGAAAATAGCTTCGATATTTACACAGTCATGTAATTCAGCTAGAAATTCAGCATTACTTGTTGATGAAATAAAGAAAATTATCTCATTAGAAGATCGAATCGAATCTAAACAGGTGGACATATCTGTATAGGTTTGTACACAATCGTTAATAGAACGAAGTGCACCGATAAAAGTTCCGGTTGTTTCTCGTCGAAGGTCAAGCCATACAAAAGTAACACATTCATGATTGCTATTTAGATCACCAGAAGCAGTACCTGCAGTAGTAACAGTCGAATTAGTAGTTGCACACATTAATTTTTCTATTATTCTAAAAAAGAAATTTTATACGTAATTCATAATCCATATTTACACCATATTATATTTCAAAATCATGGATTCAAATAAATTTTAAAGAAAAAAATTATTAACATTTACTTTTTTACCAAATTGTGTTGAATATTTTTACTAAAATCAACAGAGATATGTTTGGCAATGTTGCAAAAAAAAATGTGCACATATGATGACAAATTCAGTATAATTTGTTTCTTTTTCTTTTGCATTATGTACATCAGAATGGCGATAAAAAAACAAACAAATCCGTTGTCAACTGCTAAAAGCGACCATGTGCAAAAGAAATGAAATGTTGATTTTGTTAACAATTGTTATAAAGTATTATTTTGCACAACTTTCTCATCCGCATATAATAGGTTCACATCTTGAAGTTTCGTACTTTTTAATGACTAGATGTTCTTCGAATAAAGCTATCGACACTTTTGCGCAGAAGTTAGAATGGGTGATTCAGAAGTGGTGACTCATTTTAAATAGTAAACGTTTCTTTAGTAAAACATGCTCCGTAAAATGGCTTTTGACTAACTCTGTTAGCTCTTTTATTAAACTGAGGACTCAGTTCACCTATATAATCAGTTAAAATCATTAGAATATTATTTTAAAATGTTAAACACGCTTACTTGACAGGGTAGGGTGTGGGTGTGGAAGAAGAAGAAAGAAAAGGTCGACTTTAATGAATTATATCGAATAATAGTTGATTCGAATAAGAAAAATCTACTTAGAATCAATTGACAACTATTATGTTTAATTGATTTTTGTATAAGTGATATCATTATTGAAGTATAGTAAATCTAAATCTTGTACTTCATTCGATTTCAGAATTTTACCAAAACAATGAGTTCAGCTCTTTTGAAAATTATATGCATTTATTTTAAAAAACACGAATTACTTCCAGTTCTTATCGTATACTAACGCTTTGTTTGTTATTTAGGTCCAGGTTGTTATACATGCCAAAACGTTATAAATGTTTACAGTTCACATTTCTGGAGTCACGATACTTCTACATTTCAGCAGTGTAATGGATAACAAAAAAATAGTTTTTTCATAGTTCTATTAAAATCGTGACAGCAAAACGACTTGGCAGAGACACTTCTCGTAACATGAAACCTTTTTTCTCTTCCTGTCTTCTTAATTTTAATTGAGAGAGAAAGAGATAGTTGCAAATTTATTTACATTCATTTTATTTACTGAAATTAATTTTGTCTTATTACATTATCTGCTTTTGTACTTTATATACAATCAGTTCAAAACTTTTATTTTTATTTTTGCAATTCTATTTTGCTTATGAATCATAATTATCAGATAAATTTAAAATTCGAGAAAATAATACATAGAAAATATTCTTTAAGTCAAAAGCCCGCCGTCGAGTTTGAAATGTAATGATAGTCAAATATTATGTATAAAGCATTTTAGAGTAAATGCAAGATTTTTGATTAAAATTAAAAAAATAAGTGTAACAATGAACTTTATTAATACATCAACAATTGATTTATTTTGTTAAATTAAATACCACCATTATAACTAGTAAGATAACAAAACAATATACAATGATGATAATTCTCAAATCTAAACTATGGTAACCCATCTCTTCGCAACCAGTTTTATAATTATACATATATAATGCTGTATCTCTTTCTTTTTATATAATCAAAACCATTTGTTGATATATATTGATGAGAATTCATATTTTTTAATTAAAAAAATGTATGCAACGCATATTTTTATAAATAACTTCAACTGTTATTATATGTACATATGAATGTGTCGAGAGTAAAGTATATTTTTTTAGTTGCGATATAAAGAAGGAGAAATATAGTTGTCTTTACGCATGAGTACTCTATAGAGAGAACGAAAAAAATTTCTTTTGTATTCACTCTTATTTTATATTCGTAGTTGATTATTCACATTGCGTCTTTACATTATTCAAACAAAGAATGTTTTTAATTTTTATTCTAAATGTTCATTAAAATTATTATCTTTCAAGTTATTATTATTTTGACATGGTAAAGTAACTTTTATGATGTAAATGCAACGTATGTACATTTCTTGTTCTTTTTAAATCCTAGTTCTATAATCTTGAGTTTAATTTTTCTTCAGTAAAATTAATATATTTGATAAAGATGTCGGTTTACATCGTTAGACAAAATTCGTTTAATACTTTATATTAAATTTATTATCAAATAGAAATAAGATATAAGTAGTCTAGTTTATGTGGTACTATGTATAATCTTTATTAATTTTAATTTAAGGTTCTATACGTCTTTTTATACTATCAGATAAATCGCAATGGGTAGCTTATTCTAGATTATTTTTATTAGTTATATTCTTCATAATTAGTCAAATATTTTCGATGGGATTCTAATTCAATAGAACACCATACTAAGGTAGAATTTAAGTTTGATTATCATACTTTCACCGCATTACTAATGAACCCTTTTGTTTAGGATCATTATCTTCCTGTAAACTACAAAATTTGTAAATTGAGAGAATGTGTAATAAGGTTCTATGTACAATCGATGAGATTATAGAAGTGTCTTGTAGTTTCTTAGATCCCTATTTTTCTTCAAAGAACTTCTATAGTGTGATAAAATCTTGAAAATTGTGTCTGACACATTTTTGTGACATTCGCATAGTTTTATTTTAATCATAGCACTACCATCTTTGTTCAATTTTTACGTTTTATAGAATCGTTATATATTTTGGTTATGAAGAAAAGCGTGATCCTTATTATTTTTTTTCTTTTATTCAATTATAGTGCATCTGATGTTTTACGATGAACACGTTGTATTAACATACTAAAAATCGAAAGCATGTTTATTGGACATCGTCGATACAGAGATTTTATATGGGCTCGATATATATGTCGCTTATTCTTTATTGTTTTCATAACTACGTTTATCGTTCAATACATATTTAGAAAACTATCAACAACTAATCCAATAAGAGATGTAGATAGGTCAGTGCCGGTTACTACTAAAAAAAGTATAGTCAATCCACCACATGTTGTGTTTTCAAATCGTTATAAACGTGAATCTCTCTACATCAATCTAACGCAATGGAAACAATCTCTTTGTAGTGAGAAAGCAGATCGTCGAGGGCCACATCAAAAAATACTCACTTATTCTATCTTTGGACCAGAATCACGCAAATTTGAAAATGAAAAATTTACATGGGACAAACACATCGAATTGTTGACACCACTCGTGCTTGAAGCTACGCAGCTTTTTCCTGATTGGATTATTCGCTTATACGTTGATTTTCGAGGCAGTTCTGAAGCTCATAGACAAAATCTATTTCAATTCTCTAATGTCGATGTATGTGATATGCATCATTTGCCAGTATTTAATTCATCTCTACTTGATTTTCTTCCTGGAAGATTATGGCGATTTATTTGTATATTTGATCCATTTGTTGATTTTGTTCTTTCACGTGATCTTGATTCGCCATTGATCGAACGTGATCTAGATACGATCAAACCTTGGTTGTCATCAAAAGAAGAAGACAAATTTTTTCATATAGTTCGTGATCATCCACAGCATAATACAGAAATTCTCGCAGGAACATGGGGAGCAGCACCATCTCGAGCTCGTGAAAAGCTCTTTAATTTATTTTATCCAATGTTAAAGCCACGTCTAAGTATTCGTCTCGATGGCATGGGTGATCAATATTTTCTCACGCGCAACGTATGGCCTCACGTGCGGTCTGGTGCTCTAGTTTTTGATAGTTATCTATGTCAACTCTATGGTGGTCAACCTTTTCCTTCTCAACGACCGAATCCTTCGTGTTTTGTTGGTTGTTATCGACCGTGTTGCAATGGATCGAACGATGAAATCAGCTTGTATACAATCAAGATACCATGTCCTGTTGCATGTCGATCTACTGATCATCTGGATTGGACTTACTGCTAATTAGTATGCATTCTTTTTAAGTCAGCATGTACGACTAGATAAATAAATGTAGAGGATAAGAATGAAGTAAAATTGTGAATGAATTGAAACTTAAATGATAGTTTAAATATTTACTTTATTACGGGCACTCATTTACACTATGAAAATAAATATTATCAACAGAATGGGTTTTATTTTGTTATATAATTCAGCGAGAAAGGTCTTGAAGTTTTGAGTGTTATAACCTTTGAATTAACATATCTCTCTTTTTTGCATAGCAATAAGTTATACTTAAGAACAGGTGAGTGAAATGACTGTCCATATCCTATTTTAACAGTACAATAAAACTTTCGTGATATATAGTCAAATACTTAGCTGTTAGTATATAATGCAGATAAAATATCTGGCATTTTGATTTTATTGTCAGTATATTCATAAAAGAAACCGACAGATCTAAATAAACTGATTAAAGTAACTTTTAAATATCACGTAGAATTAATAATATTCCGAAGAAACCTTTCTATACTCGCTTTTGTCTTATAAAATCACGCTACTTTTAGTATTTGCGTATATGAAATAAATAAAGAACAGAAACTTCGAAATATCTTGAGTAGTTATAATAATGCATCTATTCAGATTATATAGTCTCACCTTTGTCAAATCTAAGCAATATGTGAAATATACAAAACCTAATTAATAATTGTAATGAAAAAAACAATTTTTTATTTTATCAAATAATTTGAAGTAAAAGCATTTTTTGCACTCAAAATCATAGTTCGTTTAAAAACGTGTGTTACGAGTCATTCCTTGTGCAACGACACGTGCACATGTATATTCAGTACAGTCTATTAACGATCGACGTCAATATGATGTATATCAATCGGTGTTTACCATCAAAAACCCTGAAATATCAACAGGACGTTAATTATCTATTTTCAATATAACCAAAAATAACGATTGCATTTATTTTTCATATCAAAAAAAAAATAATGTTAAAACGTACAGTTTCAAATATTTTGTCCATTGAAATTTGGCATGAGATTTTTACATATCTTTCAGCGGTTGATATATTTAATGCATTTACAAATATAAATTCTTATTTTAATTCAATTTTATCCAATTATAATCAATATAATATTAATTTTCAATCATGTCTTAAAACACATTTTGATTTAATATGTGGTCATATTCAACCAAATCAAATTCTTTCACTTACACTTTCAAATAGTAATGATACACCAGGTCAATTTGAATTATTTATAGCAAAATTTAATATTAAAAGTTTAACTTGTCTTCATTCATTAACATTAATTGAAATTGATCCAACATGTTTAATTCCATTAATTATTTCTCTCAATGAAATACAAAATCAGATCACATCATTTTCTATAATCAATTGTTTTGATTCATATAATTTAAATTCTACTGAACTAGCAATAATGCAATTATTTTTTCGTCAACTAGAAAAATTAGTTATAAGTAATGCACGTTATATGACGAGAAATAATGATCAACTAGGCAATCTTCGACATTTATCTATTCAACAATGTAATATGAATGATTTAGAACATATTTTTCATTTAACACCATCACTTTATTCACTTGAACTTACAATTTGCCGAGAAAGTGGTTTCTGGATACCTGTTGATGATATTCCATTAAAGTTAAAACGAATCGTACTTAACACACGTAAGATATATGTTCAGAAATAATCTTGAAGTAGATCATAGGGCAAAAAATTTATCTATTTAAGTTATTGATAATCCTGGTATTAGATAAAACTATTGAAATCTATCGTTAACATTTATAGATGAGTTTTTACACTATAGAACTTAGTTTAATAGTAGATTGAGTGCATTATAGACAAAAGTCATATATTCCCGAAGATTCATTTAGTATGGATATTGTATCCAGTTTATTACATTCTAGAAATATAAAGATAAAAAAATAAGTAAAATTTCGCGGATCGTTTTATGTATTTAACTTTTCTTCCCGTTCGTAACAATTTATGACTTCTGAAGAAATGAAAATCACATGAGATAATTTTTTATGTTCTATCATTAATAGTTTCATATGATAAATATTGATTGATGTTTACTCGTTTATATAGATATACAAATGTCAATGATTGATATCAAAGAATTTCTCTCTAAAACATCACAATTAAAATATTTCGAATTACAAACAAATATTAGAGATTTAATATTCAATGGTGATGAATGGATATCATTAGTAGAAAATCTTATTACATTTGATTTTAAATTTCGAATTTCAAAAGCAATTATTCATCCAAATGCTTTTATAAATTCTTTTCGTACAACATTTTGGATCGAAGAAAAACGATGGTTTATAGCTTATGATGAAGAACAATCACTTGTATATACTGTACCTCGTTTTGTTGAAAAATGTGCTGAATATCATATTTATTCTTCTTTTGAACCACCTAGTCATACAACAATCGATATAAATACTCCATTTTTTTATGATAATATTAATGAACTTACTATTAATCAATGTTTATGCAGATCATTACCTTTTTATCGTTTTACTAATATTACTAGACTTTCATTTTCAGGTGAAATACCATTCGATCAATTACATTCTATTGTTGACTTATCTAATGTTTATTATTTAAAATTACCTGAAATTATTTCTATTAAAGATTTAAAAAGAATTTTTCCAAATGTTTTTCCTCGTGTTCAACATCTTTATCTTCGTTCATTACCTATTGGTCATTCATGGAGACATTCAATTATTATGAAACAAATTCGTATACTTCATATTCAAACTATAAACTGTGCGTCACAATTATGTCAACAATTTCCTAATATTGAACGTTTATATGTTGATTGTGTAAAATCATATCGACAAATTCGTTGGATAATTCATCGATTAAAACCACAATTATCTTACATGTCATTAAGTTGGTTAAATAATCAACCAAAGCAATTATCATTTCGACTGTTTCATAAATGGCTTAAAAAACAACAACAATATCAAACTTATCGTAGTCATATTGGTTCTTTTTCTTGTATTTATCTATGGATAAATAATGAATTGAATGAAGAGTATACAAAATATATTTAATTTCATAGATTGGATGAATCATTATTTTATAAATCAAACTTCATAATTTAATACTATATTTTAATAAAAATAAAATCTTTTTCTTTTATACAAGCAGATATATGTTAAATCATTTTGTCTTATCAAAACGATTATTTTTTTTCCATCTAAAAAGAATATTATCGTATGGCACATATGTAATTTTCAGAGGAAAAAATAAATTAAATACGCTTAGCTACATTCGATTTGTACGCATTATTTCAATTCAATTAGTTTTCAATTGATAAGAACAATATAAGCTTCTATCAAATATTTTTTGATAACTTTCAAGCTTTGATAAGGCCTTCTAAAACCTTTTTCTGTTTCATTTTAATTGCGATAGTTATTTTATATTTTAAAAACAAAACTAATCTTCTTCTATTACTATTTTTTATTTCATATAGGAAAATTTTGTTGATAGAAGGATTCTATTTTATATTGAATATAAAGAAAAAAAAAGGAATGGATATCATTCGATGCTCTATTAATTTAATAGCATCCATAGATATGTTGAAACAGAATTGTAGATTATTCTCCCTTACATAGAGTACTTTTTCACTGTTTTTACTCTGTATACGAACATATTGTTATAACGACTTACCATAGTATCTGTCATTGGTTCTCTTATCTGTTGCTGATTTTATATTGTTTACATCGTTGTATAATTGTCAACATCCGACTTTTATAAAATTTCTTTGCAAATGAGAGTTGAAAAAAAATAAAAGGATGTTTTATCAATTTTAGATTTTCAATATGTTGTTTATTTTATTACTTTTAATTACAACAGTTGCTGCTCGTCCTCAGACGACTTTTCCAAGTAGTACTACGCCTTTCATGACGTATGATAGTGTACTTGGTTATTCTTGTCACTCGGATACGAATTGCGGTGGTTTAGTTGGTAATTCAAGATGTCTAAATGGTATATGTGCTTGTCAACCTGGATATGTTCCACAAGGAATTATGAATTGCGTATATGCTGGAAGTATGAATATAGTTTTTCTTTTATTTATTATATCATAAATTAAATGTAATTATTTCTAGATGATAAAACAACAATGAATTAAAGGTTATAATGACGTAAATATTATAACTATTATCCCCTTTATTTAATTCATAAGTTTAATAAAGCAACGTTTTCAAAAACTAAAGAATGTCTGGTATATTTTTTCTGAATAACGAACACTACACATTCGATAGTTATCAGTATTGATATTGTATATTTCGAATGAATAACAAGAGCATGCTATTGATTAAACTAAGGATTAGATATGTCCAGTACTCGTTTTAAATCAATACAAAGTATATACACATATATATTAAACTTCTAATCAACACTAGGATGCCATCGATTTCGAAATACGACCTGAAAGGAGTGTTGGAATGTATATATTAAATTTAACTTTTTCGAATAAGAAAGCCTGAAGAATTATTAACATACATAATTTTTTTGTATTAGAAAATATTCATATACAATCTACAACTTTTGAGATGAATCTTAAATATTTATAAGTTTTCTTGAATTGTGGTATATTTTTATTATCTTAGTTTCCGAATGATGATTTTCTTCTTTATTCTTTTTCTAAGGTGCCGATAAAGCGTTTTTAGAGTAAAAATTTTGTTGTTGCTCTTTTTTCACATCGTTCGATAGAGATTTAAATACCATTTTTTTGCTAGTTCAGGATCATAAACTGAATTTAGAAAACATTTTTAGACTTAACATGTAATGCTGAATCTAAAAAAATTTGACACAATTTGAGGAAGAATGCAGTTTCCGCCAAAAATGACAGCTCTTAAGCATTTCATATTTTTTGACTAGAAAAGAGTTTTTGCTAAGGTAAAAAAGTAAATATTTATGATCAGCAGCTAAAACTCTACCGAACGATGTACAAAAATATAAGTCGATTGAAAAACAATGCTTTGTTTCTGTAAAAAATTTTTACTCATATTTACTGTTAGGATCACAGTTTTTCGCATAATAAAAAAAAAGAACTTATTCTTATCGGCATTCAGTTAATACAACTGTTCAACTTCTAAACTCAATTGCTTCACAAATCAATAAACTATATCGCACTACTACATTATGTATTTTGTATGATATTTCAGACTGATCAAATATAAACTTCCAATTGTACAACATGTTTTCAAATATTCGTTGTATGTTAAAGCGAGTTTTAATTGATCATATTACGTACATAATGGTTGGAAACATATCAAGAAAATAATATAATAACAAAACAAAAAATTCAATGTCGTATAAAAATATATTCTAAGGAAAATTGCTATTACATCACATTTACAACATCGAAACTAATATAAATTCAATGCTATTATTAATTATTTAAATAGTTTTAATGAATCATCATGTTTATAATAAAAGGGTATATATGTACTCTTTTACCTGATCCTGTTTTGTTTTTGTTTAAGAACTAAATTATTCGAGATAAAATTCTTTCCATATTCAAAATCAAACATAGTTAAAAAGCAAGCACAAACCTTACATTTTACATATTTATATTTTATTATAACAGATTTTACAAATACAAAGAGAATACATGTTGGTATTTGTTAGTGGGATCATCAAATTTTTTTCTCTTTTCATACTATAGTATATAATACTCATATTTTCTACGTTTATTTCAAATTTATTATTTCATTTTTCTACCTTCGAAAAGGAGTAAGTAGTCTATTTTATAATTATACATAGAATATTAATATTTACAGTTTATTTCTAGTATCAAAAATCAATTTATTGATATTGTAATTCTACACTAGCGATTTTGTCAATGGTTGCGATTATGGTCGACATTGTACTTCATTAAAAAGCAAAATTTATCAATTAAAAATCACATTTGGTGATAAAGAATCACATTACGCTATATTTGATTTTCAAGCTAATTATAAAGTTGCCGAATATATGAATGTAGCACATGGTGGTACTGAAGCTGAACTTGAAATAAATCTTACATTCAATACTCATATAGGAAACTATGCTTGTTATGGTCGAAAATATGTTAAAGTATCTTTTGTCGATTAGATATATAAAACTCCTGATGTACCGATATTAAAACACAATGATGCTATTGATTTTCATTTTTGTTAAATTATATTTTTCCAAAGATACAACATTAGAAGGAAAAGGTGCTGTTGTTACATGCAAAATATTGAAATATCGATTTCCCGAACATTAGTCATAAATTGTAGGAGATTATCATAGCATGAACAATATCTAATTATTCTAATATTCATATTGCTTATGTTCAGAATTTTTTTTATTATTAATTATCTTGTCAAAAGAGAATGTTTTTTTTTGTTATATTGCAATGTATTATCATAACTTATCAATAAATAAAATATAATATTGAAGTTGAAAGAACAACTGTACAAAAGAGGGTGTGGGTGGAAGATAGAGAAAAGACACCCAGACCCTGATATTTTAAGTCTTTTTGTTTTGTACTTATTTACCTTTTCCATGAGCCATGTACGTTATGTTTCACGCATCATAGTGTGTCTGATGATAATTCCAGATAAGTGATCGAAAGCTCACACATTTTCTTCATTACAATAAATTCATACTGAAGATATGATTTTCCCGGCAGTTATTCATTTTCTATTATCACATACATGTGAATTGGTTAAAATAATCAATCGATAAGGTTCTTTAACAATGAACTGATTATAACAATATAGTTCTCATAATAATTAATATTAAGTCTACTTCGTTTCAACTTCAATCTTACGATCGATACTTAATATTTATAACTATATAAATACAAAAAAAAATGAATGTAATAAAGTAGAAGTACTATTTGAAACACAATGTTTTGTATACAATCGTAAATATAAGTATTACTTTTCAATAGAC